GGCTGCATTGGGTCTTTGTTACTATGCACGGGCTTTCTCTGGTTGCGGTGAGTGGGGGCTGCTCTTCGCTGAGATGCGTGGGCTTCTCATTGTGGTGGTTTCTCTTGTTGAGGTGCATGGGCTCTAGGTGCGTGGGCTCAGTAGTTGTGGCACGTGGGCTCAGTAGTTGTGGCGCACAGGCTTAGTTGCTCTGCGGCATGTGGGATCCTCCCGGACCAGGGCTCGAACCCGTGTCCCCTGGATTGGCAGGCTGATTCTTAACCACTGGGCCACCAGGGAAGTCCTAAAACTGTAGCTTTTATGGTAAGCTTCATAGCACGTAAATCCACAAAAACTGGTGCAGATCACTTATCCTCATGTCTTAATTTATGTTAACTCTATATCAGAGCTATCATCACCGACCTGCCACTGTGTATCAGGAGAGCACCCAAATACACAGCAACCACTGTGTGCTTTTTTTGGCCACCTCAAGGTAATTTTTTGACCAAGTAACAAGGAAGGCAAATTTTCCCAGAGCTGTTTTTCTTCACAGGTCATTAACTTTTTCTTTTGAGGTGTTAATCCCTTCCTTCATGTTCCATCAGGCCTGCAGGTCCTTGCACCAACCCAAGAGTTCAGCAAATTTTAAGGTGTGGCCTTTTCATTCTTTTCTCAAGGATGATTAATCTTATATTTTGTGATTAAGGTCGGTCAAACATTAAATCTTGACTACTGAAAGGCAAGCTCTTTAATGTTGGCAATTCTCAGCCCTGTTTTCATTTACACCTCCCTCTGACACAATTAAGATTGATGAGCTGCCTAGTAAAAAAGAGTTCTCCAGGAGGGATTTGGGAGTTTATTGGCACACTGGATTTTAATACTTCTTTGCCAATTTTATTTGTCCCTGCTATTTTTTTGTACACGAGAAAAACTGATGAAATCAGCATGTCATCTCTTTTTTGGGATGGAAGATACTTTTCTAACAGGCAAACTGATTCCTGTGGGCTATTGAGAAATGGAATTGTTTTCTGAAACGTATCGACTTTAACAAAACTAAGTTACATTTAGGTACTAAATTTGGGGTTGGTAGATGCAAACTATTACATTTAGAATGGATAAACAACAAGGTCCTACTGTATAGCCCAGGGAACTATATCCAATCTCCTGGGATAAACCATAATGGAAAAGAATATTTTAAAAAGAATGTCTATGTGTATAAAACTGAGTCACTTTGCTGTACAGCAGAGATTGACACAACATTGTAAATCAACTCTGCTTCAGTTAAAGAAAAAGGCAAAAAGGACTCGTGAACTAATATACAGTGTAAAGGAGAGGAGAAATGCTGCTAAAGCAGGTACTTCCAAATACAGCAAGAAAGCTGTTCTATGCACCTGGCTTAGTCTCAAAGCCAAAGTTAGCTCAAAGCTGACCTGCCAGGGGCTCTGAGGCTGAACCTTACCTTCAGGCTTTTCAGGGCCAGGCAAGCTCCCTTCTGGAGCCAGAGGTCAGTCTTTGTTAGGGCTTCACAGTAATAGAGCAGGGCCTGAAAAAGAAGAAAGGACGCTGTGAAGACACTTCGATTTGTTTGTAGTTTTAGGTGTATATATCATTTTTACTCCCTGAGATAAGCTACAGATAAAACAAGACATTTTGCACTACCTTCAGAACAACAACAAAAAAATCCATTAAAATTCATGTTTATTAAAAGAGCTGTCTCTTTACTCAATTCATCATGCCTTCTATTCTATGACTGGAATCACATAATACATGGCCTCTCGTGTCTTGCTCTTTCAGTGGGGGTGATGGCATTCGGCCCATAGAAGAGAGTTTTGAGCAAATTCTACCAAAAGATCAGAACTTTGTAGGAAAGAACAATATGAAGTTCATGCTCTTGGGCCAAAATGGCATTAGAATGGAATATCTTCCTGTGAGTACATGTCACCACATGCTAGCTTATGTAATGCCTTAGAAAAGTTAAGCAAACTCTTCTCAGAGTTCAACATCGACCTCCCCAAGGACAAGAAGGACCAAGTTTGATTTTCTTGAGCTGATCTGAAGGTTGACATGAATTGATTTTTAGAATGACTGTTCAAGTTGTAAAGGGCTCCCAGAGGACCGAGGCCCTTGCTTGTACTGGGCCCCAATGTGCTTGAATTGCAGGTGTTTATTATACCTGGATGACTGTTGAATTAAAGCCAAGAGAGGTAAATTGTCTCTTCCCTAGCATCAGGAGTGATGGCTTTTCAAATTAAAAATATTCTAGCTGTTTGACCCAGTAATTTGACGACTTAATCCCAAACTACTCATGAGAAATGCATGTGCGTGAACATACATACGTACGTTCATCATAATATTTTTCAGAGTTGGAAACTACACAAATGCTCATCAACACAGAATAAGAAAATAATGGGTTATTCATATACTGAGATGCCATTTATCCATCAAATAGAATGAAGTAGATCGATACGTTCTGCCATGGAAAGAAAATAACCACGATATATTACGTTTAAAAAATCAGTCGCACAACAGAATAGTGTGATCTCGTTTAAGAAAAAAATAATTATCCATGTTAGCATGGATAAAATAGAAAAAAGCTGAAGGAATGTACACTAAGTTATTAACAGTTTTCTCTGGGGTCTGGACCTACAGGTACTTTAACTATTTTCAGTATATTTTTGTAGTTTAAATCATGTTACAGAATATATATTATTAATAAGTGAAAGAAAATTATTTTTATAAAGGAAAAGATGACAAACTATTAATAGTAAATGGCATAAAGTTAAACAAGCTTCTGCCTCGATGTCCATCATTTCATGCCCTACCTTTTCCCTGAAATGCTCGTTTCTGGAGGCTGCTGCCAAGTAAAGCATCACAGCTTCACTAACTCCACTGTCATCCCCGGTTAAGAGCAGAGCCAGAGTCCTGAGTATTTCCTGCTGGGCCAGGAGGCTGCTGGGTGCAAGGTCACTCATGACCTGTAGCAGTTTTTCATCTCTCAGTGACTGCAGAGTCTGAACCATGGAAACTGGAGAGTGAGAAGAAAACAGAGGTCACCTTCTGACAGTAAAGGAACATGTTCATTAAAAATATAAATAAGACTCAAGGATGTACATAATAACAGACCCAAGGATATATGAAAATTAGCATATTAGAAAGGCGATGTTTCCAATTAGTGAGAAAAGGACAGATTATTCAAATAGCTATATCAAGGCAAATGAAACATATGAGAAAAAAGTAAAAGTGGATTTCTACCTCATAATGGCTACTATAATAACTTAGAGATGAATTAAACAGTCACATGTAAAAATAACAGTGAAGAAAATACAAGTAAACAGTTTCTACAGTGATCTTTTTTTACTGTCTTTTTATTTTTAAAGTCTTCATTGAATTTGTTACAATATTGCTTCTGTTTTATGCTTTGGTTTTTTGGCTGTGAGGCATGTGGGATCTCAGCTCCCCAACCAGGGATCGAACCCGTACCCCCTGCAACTGGAAGGTGAAGTCTTAACCACTGGACCACCAGGGAAGTCCCCAACCCCCTGTATTTCAGTCATACTTGCCTGGCAAAACCCTGACCCTGAGTGACCCCTTACTCAGCCTTCTCTCTGTCTGCACTCAGGAAACTGGACCCTGGTGGAAAAATCCAGTTGGTTGGAATATGGGGACAATATGATAAAAAATAGGATTCTGAGTTCCATTTGGACAAATTGACCATGCTCTATGTACTCTAATCCTTAACTAGATATCCAGCATGGGCATCCATTAGCCACAAAAGCATTAGGATAAGAGTGTATCTGGTCCGTGCAGATGGGAAAATATAACAAAATTCACATTCCATTGATAGAGCCACATCCTCTACACATGAACAAATTTGTGAATGATTAAGATTTTTTTGCTTTAATTTCCCATTTCTCCTGTTGTGGTTGTTCTGGTAACTTCATTGTTTTATAAATAAACACTCTAGTAAAAAGTCTCGAGATAAGATTATGTATAACAGCTAAATAAGTAACAGGAAACAACCTAAACATTCAACAATAATCAAATATGTTAGTATGCATCTAAATGCAGGGATATTATAAAACTAAAAAATGTTTCAAAGAATTAATAACATGGGATATAATGTCAAATTAAAAAACCAGGATATAATATTCTATAATGAGTAATCACAATTTTGAAATTTAAAACCAGCGTACAATCAACTGAAAAACACGTTATATTTTAAAAATAGGAGAATAGGTGACTTGAATCTCTTCCTTCATACTTCTCCATGTTTTCTAAAATTTTTTTTTTTTTTTTTATATAATGAACGGCTTTTCTTTGTATAAAGAAAGGGGAAAAAAAGATAAGTAAAGGCTTAGAGTTCTTCCCATGGTCATTCTCCAGGGCTGTGTAACAAGAGGAAGGGGATGCGGTTTTAAGACCCCAGGGTCTCACTTTGTTATGCTCTTCATTTGTTTGTTTGTTTGTTTGTTTGTTTGTTTGTGGTACAGGGGCCTCTCACCGCTGCGGCCCCTCCCGCCGCGGAGCACAGGCTCCGGACGCGCAGGCTCAGCGGCCACGGCTCACGGGCCCAGCTGCTCCGCGGCATGAGGGATCTTCCGGGGCACGAACCCGTGTCCCCTGCATTGGCAGGCGGACTCTCAACCAGTGCGCCACCAGGGAAGCCCTATGCTCTTCATTTCTTGATTCTAAATTTGTCACAATCTAAATCGATTTTCTAAAAAAAAAAAAAAATCAATTTTCTAAGTAAATTTCTATATTATTCAGTTTCCATCAGAGGCGTCTCCTGCCCAGGCTTGCCCTCTCTGGCACTCTGGACTAGCATGGCTATTCGGGGCTGGGGAGTGGGACCTAAGCACAGACTCCCGTGTTCAGGCTGGAGTGGCCCTGGGTGGAGGAAGATTTTCTTCTTCTCCCTGTGATGCCAATCACCGTGCTGAACATGGTGCCGCAGGGTTTAATGTTCTAGAAAGAGAAGGGCTGAGCCTCGGTTTGGGTCAGGGTCAAAAGTGTTTCTGCCACTAGCGCTGTGCCAACCTGTCTACTCCCAAGAACACACCTCACTCCCTCCCCTCCCCACCCCCTCCTCCATTGCCCCATTGTCAAGCATGGGTGGAGAAATAGAGCACAAACCTGGGAACCAGAAACCAGCCCCTTACTGCCTGGCTCCACTCCCAGAGGTTTTCACTCACTGCAGATACTGATTTTATTTCTTATGTTCGAAGGGCCACATGAGAAGGCAATAAGGAGCTTCACTGCCGCACCCCTGCGTTGGTTGCCTGTTCTCTTCAATCCCTGGATTTGAAGCCTTAGATGTGGTTTTTCCCCTTCTCCTCCTTTCCCTTCCCAATCTGTCACCCCACTGGTCTTCTTCTGAACCTCACTTCTGCTTAGTATTATGAAAGCGCCACCAAAAAGGGCAACATAAAATAGCACTGCCTGCGGGCTTGATCCCACAAGTGGCAAATACATTAATGCGGGAAAGAAATTACAGCAGTCTGAAATCATTTACCAGCTTCCTGTTAATGGCACACCCCTGCTGGATGACTGGGATGTGCTTAGCAAACCCCTGGTTCGTTGCCAAGGGGCTTACTAATGTGAAAGGTCTAGAAGTCATTTAAAAGGCGAACCTTAGCCCAGCTGTTGACCTGGGGAAAAAAAATTACCACCACTAAAAACTATGACTAGAAAGACCAGGGATCATTCCAAACTGAGCCCCACACAGTGTGACCAAAGAACGTGTCCCACCTTGCTTGGCCAGCTGGTTCAGATAACTCTCTAGGTCATTCACACCGTGGCTCGTAAAGTAACTGTAATACTGGAAGACAGTGATGACTTCGGAGGAGAGGCTGGAGGTAAGCAGGGGCTCGGCCCGGTCCAGGATCTGGGACACCAGTGTGCGAAACACTATTTGGAAGGGGAAGATACGGAGCAGCTTTTAAGAAACATGATCAATCATTCATTCATTCATTCACTCATTCATCTTTCTATTGTGGTACATGACAGAGTGAAGTCTGTGAAGTGAAATCAGTGTACAGCCGGACGATTTTTGCATGTCTATACACCTGTATAGCTTGTCATCTGGATCAAGATACAGAACACTGCTAGGACTCCATTAGGTTTTCTTGTGCCCCTTTCCAGTCTATAGTTACCCACCTATCCCCACCATGGGCAACTAATAATCGAACTTCTATCAATATATTAGCTTTATCTGTTCTTGAATTTCATATAAATAGAACTATATAGTATGGAATTTTTGTATCTAGCTCCTTTTGCTCAAAAAATATCTGTGAGATTCATCCAAATTGTTGCTTGTAGCAGTAATTTATTCTTTTTGAAAACTGCTATGTAATACCCTATTGCATGACTATATTACAATGTATCCATGTTCTTGTTGATGGGCATTTGACTTGTTTCTAATTTCTGGCTCTTGTGAATAAAGCTATTAAAAAATGAGCATAAGCATGTATTTCTCTTGACACGTTTAGGAGTGGAATTGCTGGATCACAGGGTAGGAGTATACATATTTAGTTTTCATAGACACTGCCGAACAGTTTTTCCCAAGTGGTTATACCATTTGACACTCCTGTATTGCTGACATTTTAATGAAAAAAGGATACATACTTCAATAGCAACACAGACATATAGTCCTTTTCAAAGTCACTGCTGATATTCAGAATGAAAACATGTTCAGTGCCTTTCTTTTCTTCGATTTTACTAAGTAGATGATGTTTTCTCTGGAGGGTAAGCCCTTTCTCAGGGCTAGCTGTGGGGAAAGTGTTGAGGGCACCTCTCTAGCTCTCACTCTCAAAACAAACGACAGAAATGTTTCCCTTGCTCCTGCTGCCCTGTACCTGGGTCTGCAAGTCCGGGATAGTCTCTGTTGACAGTTCTGGCAAAGCTGGCTTCTAGCTGCTTAATCACTCTGTCCGCTGAGCTGTGGTAGACCCCAGCCGGGCTGCAGCACTTGGTCCAGAATGACAGCAAAGACAGCTTTTTGTGAAATTCCGGTATGGCTGGAATAGAAGAGCAACACCCCATCCCATGATACATGTTTTGAATGAAATAGATGAAGAGATGGACCTGGGTCAGGATGGGGAAGGCATCACCAAGGGCCTTCCTTTTTTTTTTTAAAGACTGTTTTTTAAATCAGAACTACAGGATTCCTCTGTCATTGGCAGGTGTCCCGAGGGCAAAGAAGTTGAGATGAGGATCTCATCCAGCCTGGGCAGCAAAGGAAATGCAGCAAAAGCAAAGCTGTTTGCTTTAGGTGATAGAAAACAGCAGGTCTACCCTTGGGAGAAGGTCCAATCATCTCATCTCCTATAACTTAACAGCAAAAAATGTACAGGATCAGAGACTCAAACCTCAGGAGACTTTTCTGCAGGGGGTGCAAGAGAGCAGAGGATGACTGAAGGAGTTTCTTCACCCTGCCCAGGCGGCTCTCTGACTGAAATGATTGAAGAGCCATATGCCACGGTCAGCATTTCACTCATGTGGCTGTGATCATGCACAGGGGCCTGGGGGAGGAACGGACAGGAGTCTGAATGTCCTGCCCCTTTTCACATCTCTCAGAGACCTGCCAAGGTCACCTGCTCCTGGGAGGACCGGAAGCAGAAGGCAGAAATGTATAGAAAGAACCTACAAGGTGTTTTAAGCTTAATTGGAGATAATCCAGGAGATCCTAGTTTTCCACTGTTTCCACAGACTATCTGATGTGAAAAACGATACAGATTCTTGCCTTTAGGAAACAGCCCTGTAGCCAGACCACACAGATTCAAAGGCATCTTTCCTGGGTCAAGTTCTCTACCTAAAGCTCTCTGAACCAGGGACGCTCCTGAAGGCCTTTGACTGCTCGTTCTTCTACCTTTCCCAGTAGGGTTTGAGAGCACGTTGCCTTGACAGTCAACCACTACGGGAGCTGTCTCAGCCAGCTCTGTGGTGCAAGCACAATCCTGATTACCTGTCCCAAATGGAACCACACCAGGAGAACAAGTCTGTGAAACCGCCTGGGAGGTGGTTCTGTGTATACACTAGCGTCTGCCTCCTGGGGGTGGAGGCCCCGCTAGAAAAAGCTAGGCGTCTGCTGCTTTGACTCCGAAGGCTGAAGCATGGTGTTAATTACGACCACACTCGTGTGGAGACCTTCCTCTACAGCCCAAGAGCGCTTCTCTGCCATCCTAACAAAGCCATGAATAGATGCAGGCAGGGGAGGGGGCTCGTGGGGTCAACATTTACAAGAATGGCAGCGTAACTGCAGGTGCTCACCTTCGATGACAGAACTGATGCTTCCTATGTTCTCGTCACTGACGGCCGAGAGCTTCTCCATCACTTGGATTTGCCGAGAAAGCTTCTCTAAGAGGTTTCTGGCCACAAATGGGGTTTTGCTTGAGAAAACAATTTGCTGATAAAACAAACAAAACCACTGTGTCAATTACGTTGTTGTCAACAGAGCTTTCCCCACTCAACCTTGTCCTGAATGAAGTGGGGATGTTTTGTTTTGTTTTTGCGGTACGCGGGCCTCTCACTGTTGTGGCCTCTCCCGTTGCGGAGCACAGGCTCCAGACGCGCAGGCTCAGCGGCCATGGCTCACGGGCCCAGCCGCTCTGCGGCATGTGGGATCTTCCCGGACTGGGGCACGAACCCGTGTTCCCTGCATCGGCAGGCGGACTCTCAACCACTGCGCCACCAGGGAAGCCCATGTGGGGATGTTAAACTCATACACGTTTCTCTTCCAGTTTGAAAATGTTCCTCATTCCAGGCCGGTTACAACATCTGCTGAAATCAGACATGCTTTTGTTGCTTTCAACTTTTTTCATGCCTGTGTAAATTCCTGAATTTTCTCAGTAGTAGGGTTGCAAGGTTATTATAAAGTTACCTTTCTTGTATGTACTGTCAATCTAAAACTCCTCTCTGAAACTTGAAGGGCATATTTAGGTTGCCCTCCGGTATGGAAACAGAAAAAAGATTTTTTTTTTACAAGTGTAGTAATTTTTCACAGCCTGATTTATTTCCTTGTCTTCAAGCTGAAAATTAAGAGCGTGCTGTAGAATAATCCTAACTACAATCAAAGCTATCTCACTACAGTTAACAAGTTCTTACTATGTACCAGGCACTGGTCTGAGCCTTATACATGTATTAGTTTGTGTTATTTTGCACAACAATCCAATGAGGTGGGAACTTTTGATTTTCCATTTTACTGATGAGGAAACTGAGGCACAGAGAGGTCAAGTAACGTGCTCAAGGGCACATAAATAGCAAGTGATTTCACTTGTGTGCAGATCACAAGAATAAGGAAGAGCTTGAGAGGGGAAAGGACAGAAGTCAGTCGATGCCTGAAGGTTCTAGTCCTTTCTGTGTCTCTCAGAAACCTGTCCCCTTCACTTGGTAGGCATGGCTGCAGGATGCAGACCTGTACCACCATTCTGTATGGTCTAAAGCATTTGGACTCTAAGGCAAAGAGAATTTTTCGAATTCAAAAGTCAAGTTCAGCAATTATGTACTAATGCCTTTCATGTAAATAAATACGGTAGAAAATAACTGCTTTATTTTAAACATAATTATAGCTATTATGATTTTTATGGACTGCCCATTTTTATCTCTTTGCAATTATATACCAAATGAATAAGTAAACTCACTGATTCAGGAGCGGGTGTGAATTAGAAATCAAGCTTCTAACCCTTACTCTTTTATTCTATATCTTTATGTCTACCTCTTTTATTCTTCTTTTGTTTTTCTTTCTTTCTTTATTTTTATTGGGGTATAGTTGTTTTACAATGTTGTGTTTGTTTCTACTGTACAGTGGAGTTCCCTGTGCTATACAGCAAGTTCTCATTAGTTATCTATTTTATACATGTTAGTGTATATATGTCATTCCCAATCTCCTAATTCATCCCACCCCTCCTTTCCCCACTTGGTGTCCATACGTTTGTTCTCTACATCTGTGTCTCTAGTTCTGCCTTGCAAACCGGTTCATCTGTACCGTTTTTCTGGATTCCACATGTAGGCGTTAATATACAATATTTATTTTTCTCTTTCTGACTTACTTCACTCTGTATGACCATCTCTAGGTCCATCCACGTCTCTACAAATTCTTTTCCTTTTTTTAAATTTTAAAGATCTAATTGGCTTTACTAAACGATTCATGGATTGGGCGGTATCTCATGTACCATGTAGAGAGGAACTCCCCTCTTGTTTTTCTAGTGTTGATTTTCTCCACAGAAGAGTTGAAGTGTTATAACCAAGGCCTTATTATCGAGAGAAACACTGCACTGACTACTGCATGCCAATTATTCTTTGAGAGAAAACATCCATCCCTTCATGGAGGAGAATTCTCCCATGCCTCACAAAGTAATGACTTTACGCCTAAGAGGTGAACGGGGAGTTTGCTCAGCACAGTCTCGGCCTCACCAAGGACAAAGAGCTGTGAAAACCATCTCATTCCAGTGCTTGATGAATAGAGGATAACTATAAGTCAACGACAATCCTTGTCCATTTTGGTCAGAAAAAAAAAAAATTGCACCTTCTGCCAGATTGGTTGTCAGCACCTGGCTTGTAAATTCAACGCTCAACAGAAGAGAGCTCCTGGGGTGTTGGCCAACCTAGTGCAAGAGTCATAACTGCCAACCAGTTTCCCAGAGCACGTGAGGTGTCTGAGGCTGCTTTGAGGGTCTACATTCGTGGAGGAGAAGCAGATTCTTCTACATCTCATCACAAGTGTGTTACTAAAAAAGCAACATTAACCCACTCCTGGCCTCCCTGGGGTCCTTCCTCCTCACCCTGCCTCTGGTCTCCCAGTTGGCCATTTGCTCTTAAAAGCACAATTCCTCCTCTTCTGGCCTGGCCCATCACCCCGGAAACCATTATACATTTGCTTTCACATTCTTTTCCTGTTCCCCACACATCCAAGCAAGCGGGAGAAGAACAAGATTGGGAGAAGACAAGCCACCAGGTGAGGAGGAAGCATTCAAGTACCGATAGCTATTTGGGGGAAAATGGTTTGTTCAAGACAGCGGAAACTCTCCCTGCAACAAAAGAATGGCAGAATAGTTGCTCTGCTGTGGCAAAATCTTAAGTGATAAACAGCCTGAAATGAGAAGAAAAGTGAGCCCCAGGGTGTCGCAGAATGAAAGCGAACTGGTGAGGAGGATAATACCTGTAAAATGTTCTTTCTTGTTGCTAATAAGTACTTATTCAAGATCTGCGAAACTGTGGTTATGTTCTGGAGCATTTTGCCTTTAGCTGTCCAGGTGGTAGAAAACTAGTTCGTGTGATGGGTTCATATTAACATATGTTCAATAATACTGGCTTTCACAGTCCTTTTGTAGATGGCGGAATGCAAATTCCTTATCTAAAATTAAAAAATCACACTACTCTCACCTATTATCAAATGATGTGAAAGCAAGAGCACATTATATGTCACCTACTACCTGTTAAAGTCTGGAGATCTAGGTTTTAAGATAGAAAACTCAGGGTTGAGGGAGCATGGCCATGCCTTTCAGAGTTTCTGAGTTGGGTCAAATCAAAGCAGGATGGTTCTCTTATTCCTGAGTTCTCATTTTCCTGGGAAAACGCAAAAAAGGAAGCACACATCCATTCTTGGTGCATCAAAAACCTGGGCTCTAAAAACCCAGTGCCGTCACCAGTCCTACCTGGACGAGTTGGGTGCAGTACTGGAGGTGCTTGATGATGCTGAGGTCCAGGCTTTCATTTCCCGTGGTCAGTGGGAGAGGGCTTCCTGCCACACTAGTCCCGACTCCCGTGTCCTCAGTCAGGGCTTCGCTGAGGTGCCCCCTGGCTTCCGGGTGTACTGATCTGTAACTGTTGAAGCAGGAAGGTGAGCGAAATGTTAGCTGGTTCTTTCTGCATGGAAATCACAGGTCAACTCAATCACAGCACCCACTGAAAAGAGTCTTGCACTCGCCTATCTTGAAAAATAGAGATACCTTTCAAAAACTATTTTATAACTGAGCCTGGTCACCAATTTGCCTAATATTAAAAAGATCCTGCAAACAGACTGTTTCCAGAGTTCTCTGTTTGCTTCTCAAGCACAACGAACCATCTGTAAAGTTGGCTCACCAAGAAGTCTTTTGAAATGTGCCCTCATTCTGTGGCACTTTCCTGCTCTGTTGATGGAGTGGTTTGCCAGATTTTCTGGGATTAAACTGTCCTGTGAACCTGTGGTTTCCCAAGAGCAATACCATTAAGAAATAATCAGTCAAGGCTTTTTCCTGGCCTTAAATCAATTGTGACTTGAAGAAAAGGAGAAAGGAAAGCTGTTAGGAAGAAACATGATGTTCTACTCCAGACAAAAGCTAAAAGGGGCATTTGTATCGCTTAGTTCTGCCTCGCGGGCTTTGTGTAAAGCCCACCGTTGAACTGTCTAAAGTTGTATCATGATGGGCACTTACATTTAAAAATAAATCTGTTGCACCTATTATTTAATTTTATTCTTAATATGAATTTGTGCAGGAGGGCGAGGGGGAGGGAAGAGTCTCATTTCACACATGGAAGGAATGACCAGCAGAGGTGTTAACCAGAGCGTCCTCGTTCACACAGCTAGGCGGTTTTTGGCTTCTAGTTTCATGCTCCCCAGTCTCCACAATTTAAAAAGATAATGCACCAGAGTTTAGAGGGGTTGAATGCCTTACTCTGATTCACATTTGCCTCCAAGGGGAAAACATTCAGCTTGTGTCCTGGTAGTCAGCACATATTTAAAACACACACACAATTTCCACAATTTTCCATAATACCTCTGATGACATACGGTAAGACTGATCAAATTAGACATATTTAATAGCAATGTTCTGTAAAATTTACAAAGGCTATGATGTTTTTAAAATGCTTCTTGGGGCTTCCCTGGTGGCACAGTGGTTGAGAGTCTGCTTGCCGATGCAGGGGACACGGGTTCGTGCCCCGGTCCGGGAAGATCCCACATGCTGCGGAGTGGCTGGGCCCGTGAGCCATGGCCACTGAGCCTGCGCATCCGGAGCCTGTGCTCCGCAACGGGAGAGGCCACAACAGTGAGAGGCCCCCATACCGCAAAAAAAAAAAAAAAAAAAAAAAAAGTTAAAATGTTTCTTATAGCAAGAAGAAAAAAAGTTTAATCTGACCTTGATCCATCATCTAATACCTTAAGCTAACAAGTATACAGGAAGATGTTTGGTTTAAGAAGCATTTCACAAATTCAATTAAGTTAGAAAAATCTCACTGTAGAATGTAGAAGGATAATGTAAACATGACATTCATTTCATAAATTTTCTTTGCTATGCCCCCAATTTGCTCAAAGGATAAATTCTATTTCTCACTTTTTCTTTTCCTCGTTTCACTTTGGCAGAAGAAACCCTCCAGGAACAACAAAACTCCAAAATATTAACACCACCCACAGAGAGGTCTGCGAAGGTTGAACAGCCATAGCTTGTTGTAACTTGAAAATCAGTGTATATAACACGTCAAAAGAAAAGATGGATGGAAACCCACCCTTTCCTTTGGGAAAGTGTTTGTGGTTTTTTGTTTGTTTTTTTTTTGCAGTAATTGATGGAGCTGAGTATGTTCACTGTGCTTACAGAATGGACCCCAGGCTCTAGCTCTAAACACGTGGTTTCGTACAAGAAAGCCCAATGGAGAAAGAAGGTGACAACATTTCACCTTTATCCTCCCTTCCCACTGCTCTGTCCCATCCCCATCCTAGAGAAGGCCACATTCCAGCTGGAGGCCTGCAGATCCAGTGGCAGTTATCAGTTATCAGTCATCTCTTCTTACGCTCTAAGGAAAACATGGACCACGGGGCTTAAACCTGGCTTTGATATAGGCACTGATGAGCTTAATCTACTGCAAAGACCCAATGGCCAAAAGGAACGGAGAGATAAGGGGTGGGAAAAGCAAAGTCTAACAAAATGAAGAAATTAGAAATACGATGCAAAGCAAGGAGGACCAGGTCCAAACTGATGATCCAGTAAGAGTTCTCCAGAAACACGGTATACCTACTTAATTTGCAATTAATTACATTGGGGACAAGTTGTAGACACTGAAACCTACAAGATGTATGTGTATACACATAAATATACACACACTCATACAAAAATCTCCCCTTCATTTATAAGGAAGAAAATCAATTTAATTTTCCTTAAACAACACCAAAAGAGGTGAATGATATTTAAAAGTTGTACTTAACAATGAAAAGGAACTGTAAGCCAATTCATGTATAGGGGGTTTTATCTTCCTGGAGATGTGTATCAGGTCCCGTCTGGTAGCTACAAAGAACTGCTGTACCAGCTATGACAGTAGAAATAGAAGCAGACGCTAACTTCAGACTTACCTATTTTTCTCAGTCTCAGTGTCTGAAAATACTGAGTCAGCACCTCCTCCAATGTTACAAACCTCATCACCATCCTCCTCCTCCTCGTCAAAATCAGAGGTGTTCAGAAAATCAAAGCTTTCTAAAGCACTTTCAACTGTAAGACTTAAACTGGAAGACCTGCTTCGGCTTACTGCTGGCTTGCACTGCAAAGGTAGAAGGTACCAAGGAGAATATCAACATATTCGGAAGGAGAAACACAACAAAGACACCCAGCGGGAGATGTGACACTTTTCTTTTTTTTCAAGCTTTTATTTTTAAAAAATTCATTTAAAGTCGTCTTATTAAAAGAAAGTACAACCGTGGATAAAATGACACAATATCTGGGATTTGTTCCAAAACAATCCAGAGGGAAGGAAGCAGGCAGAAGAACAGACACAAGACTGGCTGTGAGTTGAGCACTGTGGAGGCTGGAGGATGGGCACATCAGGGTCCATCATCTGATTCTTTTTCTACTTCTGTTTGAAATTTTTTAAATAAACAGTTTAAAAAATATTACAATCAGAAGGCTTTGGGAAATAGAACTGCTATACTCTCTCTGCCTCGTGCTCAACCACAAATAAAATGCAACTGGCAGACAAATCTAAGGAGTCACAGTCAATTCCAACTACTAACCAATCTCTAATTCCAGGTGGCAACATGTTTAGTGTCCTGAGACAGGGGTGAGCTATCTAAGGCACCTGTTCTAAAGGATTCACAAAACAAATCCCAGAAATAGAAAACTACTCGAATTTACTTAATCCACACTCCCTAGGTAAGTACACTTAAATATTAATTTTACGGGGCTTCCCTGGTGGCACAGTGGTTGAGAGTCCGCCTGCCGATGCAGGGGACGTGGGTTCATGCCCCGGTCCGGGAAGATCCCACATGCCGCGGAGTGGCTGAGCCCGTGAGCCATGGCCGCTGAGCCTGCGCGTCCGGAGCCTGTGCTCCGCAACGGGAGAGGTCACAACAGTGAGAGGCCCACGTACCGCAAAAAAAAAAAAAAATTAATTTTACATTCACAGCATGTAATTTTTCTTTGAGCATCGAGGAGAAAATAAATGGCATGGGCATGACAAGGAGTAGCTGTGCTTCCTCTACAGCTCTTTGAAGGAACAAGTTCCATTTCTTCCCTGACTGGGCCCTGGAATTATGTGAGCAAACCCATTCTATGGTCTGGAGAATTCTACATTGCTGGATATTAAGCAGAAATATTACAAACAGGGTAATGCCAGTTGCTGTGGGCACAGAGATGGAGAGAAGTTCTTCCAAATAGTCAAGAGGATGCTGGGGGTTACTGAATGGGACAAATTCTGCAAGTAAGAAGAACGAAATGTTCTCCATCCAGTTAGGTGGCACTCCCTGCTGACTTCATTACACAAGGTCGGAAGGGCCTTGCAGGGATCTGAGTCTCTGACACTCAAGACAAAGCATATAGGAAACCGTCTTTCAGTCTTTTAAATCAGAGTTGTTTCATTCGCCCTCAGTGATCTCCGTCCAAGAGGCAGCATCATTTAGTTTCTGATCCTCAAGGTGTTTAGCATCCTAGGAATGTGAAGGAGGGAAAAAAAGAGAAAGCTTTGTCCAGCGGATGCTTTAATCCTGGCTGGAGACAAAGCCACTTGCCCCAGACCTCAACTCTAATGCCATTTTCCATCTCAGAGAGAGAGGAGGAGCCAGTCCCGACCTGACCCACTTCTAGGGTCTTCTTTCCTAAGCTAGATTGCAGAACCTGATCTTGCACAGTATGGATGTGTTTAAATACTGATCAAAATAAAGAAAGGGGCAGTTAAGGATTTTAGAAGCGGGATAGTTTTGGAACAACTGCAGATTGAAATAATACTCTGGAAAGAAACCTATAGCCACCAGGTTTTTATAAGACTAACAGATGACTTGCTTAGCGCTTCTTGGTGGACTGAGCTACTGATCAGCACCCTAGACGCCAGGAAATGGGGCATCTAGACATTTGAGGCACTTACTTTAGGTGGATCAATTGTGTCTTAGCTCTTTACATTTAACAACTTTTCTCCCAGTAAGCAAAAACTGGTCAACTGTGCTGACATGAGCTTGTTGAGGGGATAAAAGATGTTTTCACTGCAGTACTGGACAAACAGCCTCCATGCATGAGCCCTCAGCAGATGCTTTTGAGTTTGTTTTACAGGAAGCAGATTCAGAATGCCCATCCCTATTGCTCGGAGGCTATACCTACAGCTGAATCAATCTGTCATGAGCATTAGAGGATGTGGGGAGTCAGAGCATGGATTATTATCTGCCCTGGGCAGACATCCCCTGCAGACCTAGGTCAGCGTGACCGAGACTGTGAGAAAAGCCTTGGGAAGGCTGTTCCAGATGCCACGGGGAAGGCCACATTTTAAAACCGTCACGCCAAGGGATGCAACAGCCTGCTGCGGGTTGACCTGCCCCTGACACCGTATTTTCAAGCTTATTTTATAGAACAGGTTCCCAAAGAACTGCTCTTTCCAGAGAAAAGATCCAAGTTCTCTTCTCTGTGGCACTATAAATCAGAGTGGCAAAGCAAAGAATACAAGAAGTGGCAGTGGGATTCGGGACAAAAATTCCAGTTCTGTCTTCTTGTGCCTTGTTTTTAAAAATTTCATCTGTATGCCAAGTGGAGACAGATACATTCTGGGGTAGCATTAACGATCTCATTGCTAGGACCTCCTGCCTAAGAGGAAATCACCCCCTCACTCCTATCTTCCCATGTCTATCCTGAGCGGTCTGATTAGGAACAGGAGAGAGGAAGATAACTCTGGTGGAGTCAGGGTTCTCTGGCTTCTCGATTATTCGTGGGTGATTATCTGGGCTTCTGACTCACCGATTTGGGCCAATTGCAGAGAAGGGAATCCTCCAGGAGGTGGTGCCCTGGGCAGGGGAGAGATGCCCGTGGCTCTCACATCTGTACTGCCTAACTCTGTCTTCAACCATGGGAGGGCTTTCCTGCTTCCCTGATACTCAGAGAGGTACCCTCTCCAGGAGCATGTCAATGAGATGATGATGCCCAAAAGGCCACCATTTCACATTTGGAATCTGAATGATGAACTTAGGGACTGAGGGAATTTAGATGCTCTCCAGAGCTGTTAATTTAACTCCTAATCATTTTCCTTAAGTTGATCAGTTGTCAGGAAAATAAATATACGCTACTAGTATTAAAAATCAGTGCCATTTACGTGATGATTATCTACTGATCCTGTGATGGGGCAGGATAAAAAAAAAAAAAAAAGATAGGCTATTTTAAATAGAATGTTGGCTGAAGATACCTGTCTCCAGACCTAAGCCAATTTCCCTAAAAATGTACTTACTTTTAGAATGTCATCCAAGTGCATGACTTCTTGGTTCAGATCCTGAAACTCTTTATACTGCTCTTTATGTGGTTCTAATGCAAGGAAAAGCCCATTAAAGGCATCCTCTAAACTTCCATCTAGGAAGGATCTACAGCCTTCGGACTCTCCACTGACAGAGCCCTCAAAGAGCAGCCTCTCGGTGGCCGCCGGCACCTCTGACGAGGTGAGCCTCTTGACCAGCTGCTTCGTGATGTTTCCTTCAAAAGTGTCCAGTTCCACGGGCTTGAGTTCAGAGGCCTCGTCAGACTCTTGCAGAAGGGCCTCTGCGACACCCTTCTCCAGGAATAGGCGCTCCGTCCGGGCACCCGCGGATGCTCTGCAGGCCTCAGGTTTCCCGAGCCCCTCGGTCTCTTCCTCCCGGTGGGGCCTGGGCTCCGAGCCTTCTCCCAAGGAGCTCTTGGAAGAGGCCGAGCTGGAGTCATCCAGGCCCTCATTCTGGGAGGAGGGGCTGTCGCGGTTCAGCTCTGCGGGGGTGATGGTGATTTCTGGATTTGCCGAGCACGTGCTGGGGAGAGAGCGGCCTGGGCTGTGGGAGAGGGCGCAGTCCCCATTGGGCAGGTCACTGAAGCTGAGGGACAGTGGCATTTTCTCCCCAGCTGCCTTCCCATTTTCAAGGATGTCATCAGGTAGATTCGACTGCAGATAAAAGGCAAATCATTATGATTTTAAATACAAGTGATGCGTTTGGCATGGTTCATTTCCAGACAAAATGTAAGACAATTAAAATTTAAAAAACAGACCTTTCATGATATTAACATTGTATTGTTGATTTTGTGTGTGTGCGTGCGCGCACATGCGTGGCAAAAGAAAACAAGCCTTTAAAAACTCTATTACCATTGTTGAATCTTGGTGAAAGTTCACTGCACTATTCTCAGGTTTGACGTTTTTCAAAAGAAGAGGCTGGAGGCAGGGGAGTGGTGCTTGTTTCCCAAATCCCAGGATCTCACAATATTTGGCAGCCATAGTTAAGAATAGCACCACTGTTTTTTTTGTTTTGTTTTGATTTGTTTTTGTTTTTGTTTTTTGGCATCGATCTTAAAAGACTTTACAACATTCTTGCTATTTCACTCAAAACATGTGATGCTTTGTTCTGCTTCAGTTCTCATAAAATTATTTTTTGAAAATCTCTACCCACAAATCCCAAGCCCTGGAAAAAGTTTTATTAATTCAGTAACCATGCCACCAACAATTCAAGACCAGAAATACGTGCGCAGTGCTTCTATAAAAAGAGGAGAAAAAGACTGATAAACTGAACAACTATCTTCCAGGGCTGCAAACCCCAGAGCTCCCAGGGTGTCTAGAAATCCCAAGTGCTCTGTCAGGCAGCCCCAGGCTCTGTGATCCGTGAAGCAGAACTCAGAAGACAGAGGTCAGAAATATCCAGGTAACCAAGGTAATTTGTTTATGCAGGCGTTAAAGCAATTTCTAAGTCACCTTTCCTGACACAGTGGTCTTGGTAAAGTGCTAAATGTGGGAAAAGTTTTTTAGTTATTTGAGATCAACTCAAATAACTTTTGAGTCACCTTTCCTGACACAGTGGTCTTGGTAAAGTGCTAAATGTGGGAAAAGTCACCTTTCCTGACACAGTGGTCTTGGTAAAGTGCTAAATGTGGGAAAAGTTTTTTAGTTATTTGAGATCAACTCCTTCAAAATGAATACTCTCTCTTGGATTCCAGAATTGATTGTTTAAGTAAAGATAAGTACCTATTTTAATTATACATAAAACAATGAGGGAACTCCCTGGCAGTCCAGTGGTTAGGACTCCGCACTTCCACTGCAGGGGGCGTGGGCTCCACGATCCCTGGTGGGGGAACTGAGATCCCACACGCTGCGTGGTGCGGCCAAAAAAAAATAATAGGGCTTCCCTGGTGGCGCAGTGGTTGAGAGTCTGCCTGCCGATGCAGGGGACACGGGTTCGTGCCCCGGTCCGGGAAGATCCCGCATGCTGCGGAGCGGCTGGGCCCGTGAGCCACGGCCGCTGAGCCTGCACTTCCGGAGCCTGGGCTCCGCAACGGGAGAGGCCACAACAGTGAGAGGCCCGCGTACCGCTAAATAAATAAATAAATAAAACAATGAATGATCACGATAGTGCTGGGAATTAGCCCAGGAAACAAAAATGTTACAGCAAGTGAAATGAGGAGCAGACAGAAAGAGGCTCCCCATCCTCCTCCAGCAGTCCATGGTCCCATCACTGCTGGATCTGGGCCACCAGCTCCCAATACATGCAGTTTCAACTCAAACTCTCCATTCTCATCTGGTTGGAAGGTTTTTTACTTTAACCACAGGATGAGTAAAAGGATGTGTCACTGGGGCACTCAAGTAACCTCTGCAGGCTCAGTTTCTTTGCCTCGAAAAGTGAGAATGTTTTCCTGGATTAGTGATTATTGAACTGCGCTCCAGAGTCCCGGTGCGGGGGGGGGGGGGGGGGGGGGGGCTCTCCGTGGGGGGGGGGGGGGGGGGGGGGGGGGGGGGGGGGGCGTTCCAGGGACTGTCCTTGGGAGGGGACGAAGAGGGGGTGGGTCCCCGTGCGACTCACTATTTCCGGCCTCCTTTACTTCAGTTTCCTTCCTCCTGTATCTGCACCCCCCTTTTCCCCCCAAACACGCTTTATGCCTCCAGGACAGACGAAAAAGGAAGCTTCTGGGGAGGGATGGGGGAAGGCTGAGTCCTGCTCCCTGCACTTCCTCCGTGGGGTCCCCTGGGGATCTCACAGAAGCCCTGGGTCCTCTGAGCGTTCCTGCCCAGCCTCAGCTCGTCTTCAGAACACACATTCTGAGCAGCTCTGAGGGAGGCGGGAGGTGCTGGCTAAGTAAGGAGCGGGCCTGGTGGTCACGATTCTTATTTAAATTCCAAACTCCTCTTCAGCCACTTCTATCAAGTCTCACATTCCCAAACCCAATTTGCATGTACTTAAGTGGCAAATATCCAGTTAGACTGAGATGCCCTGCTGAAGGGGACGTACAGCCTGCCAAGAGTGCGAGCCTATAAACGGGCACACGGGGAAGGCGTGCTGTAACTGAGGGGTGATGTAGGGATGCTGCAGGGTGGTAGGAGCCCCGGCAGGGGGCGGGAGTGGCTGCTCAGGAGAGAGAGTGTCTGGAACTCAGCCCTGGAAAATGCGGAGAAGGGCAGAAGGAGGAAGAAGTGCGTCCCAGAAGGAACAACAGGCTGTGGGAGCTCTTGAGAGGGAGGGTGCATTTGGAGGACAATGATGGGGGTTGGGGTCGGCGGGGGGCATTCCGGCAGAGAATGAAGGCTGGAGAGAGGAGAGGTGGGCCTGGAAGACTGGGCCGGAATGGAACGGATGCTCCGAGGAGTTTGCGTTTATCCAAAAGGCTATAGGAAGCCATCACATTCTTTTCTAATCTTGCTCTTGTTTACATGATGCAATTAAAACCTCTACTAACCATCTCTACACCCTCCAGCTTGCAGCGTATGAGCATCAATATACACGTGACATTGACAGTTACTGCCTCAGCTCTACTCTTCTCTGGCATGTGCATATCTTTCCCATTTTCCGTGGAAACTCCACTAGAGTTTAGCCTGGTCCATTTCACCTGTGTTTTTTAGTCCAATGAATAAGATGCAATTATTATTATTATTTTTTGGATGGTTTATTTATTTATTTATTTATTGGGAAGAAAAATAAAAAACGCGTTTCAAGCAGTCATTTAGAAAGAAAAATAAATCTATTTTTAATTTTTATTTAAAGTATATTTTAAAATATATCTTACTAATGCAACATTCTTTTACCTCATTTGAGCATGCAGAGTGGGTACTTGAAAGTGATTTTAAAAAATCTATTTCAAACTCCTCTACAATCAGTCTCTACTAATTTAGGCTTGCCAGTTAGTCTAGAGCTGCACTCTTTTTTTTTTTAACATCTTTATTGGAGTATAACAATTATTATTATTATTATTAACCAGAAGGCTTTTAACCCTTTCCTCTCTGGACATTCAAAGGTTACTTTTATATGTCTGTACACGGCAGAACATTCCAGGTATGTATGTACATATGTGTATGTGTATTCTCTTGTGACATAATGGATAACACATATAATGTAGGTTACCTATTACATTCCTGATTGCAAATTAAAGAGTTTCTTTTACTTCGATAGTATAAAACTAGCAAACAATACAATAAATTAAGGCTAAGAACCTCTTTCAATAAAAATAGTTTTGGGAAAATTGGTTTAAATCCAGTGCCAGGTTTTGAAGGCTACAACTGTAAAGATTGCTATTAGTGATACATTAGCTTAACTTGTGAACGAAAATCTTCTTTGACCTTGAGCGCAACTGTATTGTTTTTTAAGTGACAATATTGTTACCATGGATATCTTTGCCACAGTGCAGAAAAGTCACAGCACAAAAGTGGAGATCATGAGCAGGGAAGGACAAACGGCCTCTCTCACAAAGGTGCATGCATGCCCAAATTTCCCACCCAGGGACAGGAGGCCTGTAACCGTTAGCCAATGAGCGAGAGACAGAAGATAAAACAAGAGCCATGCCAAAGCCCACATGCCACAAGCCCCCTACAGCAAGCACGTCACACCCAGGCGGGCCACACACACTCACATAAAACTCTAGAACGGCCTTGGGTCTCAGCCTGAGGGAGGGCAGGTCACTGAAAGAGCGGCTGCGGTGCAGCTTGGCAAAGAAAGACTCTTGCAAGGCACTCAAGACAGACAGCCTTGGCTTGTCTGGTGAAGGATGCAACCATCTCTTCAGAAGTCAAAGCAAAATGGGGGAGTTAGTGGAAAGCAGCAGGTTACTATGTTTTTGTCAGCTTTTTAGCGAGCATTTCTGATTAAAACAAGGAGGCCATTATTTACACCCACTTCTTTAAAAGTCTGATCTTAGAGAATGTGCAGAAAAGTCTACATGTGTTTACCAAGCAACAGGTTAAGTTGGGGGAGAGGAGAGGAGAGCCACAGGTGGTTTACCACCTGTGCGCGGGTGGCCACAGACATCTCAGAATGTGCTTTCCTTAGTCACCATGTGCTTAGGGTGAACTTGAAGATGACATTACAGTCAGCCCTCCGTATCCAAGGGTTATGCATCTATGAAAAAAAAATTCCAGGGGCTTCCCTGGTGGCGCAGTGGTTGAGAGTCCGACTGCTGGTGCAGGGGACGCGGGTTTGTGCCCCGGTCCGGGAAGATCCCATATGCCGCGGAGCGGCTGGGCCCGTGAGCCATGGCCGCTGAGCCTGCACGGCCAGGGCCTGTGCTCCGCGACAGGAGAGGCTGCAGCGGTGAGAGGCCCGCGTACCGCAAAAAAAAAAAAAAAAAATTCCAGACAGTTCCAAAAAAGCAAAACTTGAATTTGCCAATTTGCTGGTAACTATCTACATAGCATTTATATTGCATGAGGTATTACAAGTAATCTAGAGATGATCTAAAGTATCCGGGAGGATGTGCATAGGTTATGTGCAAACACTATGCCATTTAACGTAAGAGACTTGAGCATCCTAGGATTCTGGTATCAAAGGGGGGTTCTCAGAACCAATCCCTCTCGGATATTGAGGGACGACTGTATTAGGAATTATAGAGACTCCCTAACACCGTATATTAAGCATTTCAAACCCTGGGTGCAAGCATTGCCTCAGGCTCATCATTTCTCCTCTAGAAATCACACTGAACTTACAAAGAAGGAGTGGTCTTTGAAGGTGGGCGTTTCTGGGGTGCCCTGGCTGTACATGGACATTCTTCTCTGGAGGGCGGCTGCCTTGTTCCCAGCGCCTGAGGATGGGGTCATGTCCTCCACGTCAAATGGACTGCAAAACAACAGGTCCCCATGAACACACGTTTGTTAAAGTCACCTATAATCACCGGTCCGCAGGCCAAGAAAGCACCTCATTATACTTACGTAAACTCAAACCAGTGGGAACTGGGCTGGTTTTGGCCAAATTGGTCTGTCAGCAAACAAACCAAGATAAAAAGAAGTGGAGCAGAAAACGGGGTCTAGACTCACCCAAGGGACCCCAGATTGTCATCACAACTTTAAGCACAATTTATGTGCACACCTGCAGACCACATAAATTTGCTTCCTCGTTCGTATTAGAGACACAAACGTATTAATGTTTGTCCCAACACGAGATGTTGAAGAAGTCTGTAAAAATTCCTGGAGCTTTGCAAGGGCAGATGCTTTAATGATACAAGAGAGCAACAGATTATTGTTCGGTTCTAAAGAAAACTCTCCTATTCCTTTCAGTGGACCCAGAGCCTGTTGTGTGACTGAGAGGATAACAGTCTGTTCACAATGATGCCATTTATCAGCATGCCATGTGCTCCTCCAGCAGAAGCACTGATCTTGCATTTGAGACGTCAATCATTACAAGTTACGGGGAGAGATGGGCTGGGCAAAAGCTGTGGACACTGTTCCAATAACAAGGCAACATGTCTTTGCTGCTTCCATGCCTGACCCTCGATATTGTAAAGGTGGCCCCAAACATTAATACTGAACGTGTCCTAGTTACTTGTAACATACCAGGGGCATAAGATCAAATGTTGTGAGCAACCAGTACTTAATAGCTTATCATGACCTTTCTCACGGGGTGACTTCAGAAAACCACTTTTAAGTTCCCTGCTTTGACAAAAGGTATCTCTGGCCCTTTGGAAATATTCTGTTTCAGTATATAGAGTGTGGAGAGACTAAGGATATCCAGAAATTTCCAAAGCAGTGTCAGGTATCTGAGATAAAGAGGGCTAAGCAATTAAAACACCATAGCGAGAATCAGGATCTTTCTGTGGATAAAATATCTCATACTGGACAGTTATTTTCTTTCAAATTAGTGGACGTGAGAGATATACTTCTTTATACACATCTAAAGGTTGAGAAGGAGAGTAGTGATATGGCAGAGGGCTCTCCTTTAACATGTGTGAACGTCACCCAGCTTATTCAAGAGATTCCTGGGCCCTGAGAGATTCTGACACAGAGAGTCTGGGGTGGGGCCTGAGACTCTGCTTTCGTACCAAGCTCCCCAGTGATTTTGACGGTCCACACGCCACCCTTGGGACAGCACGAGCCTAAAGCACTTGTTTCTATCATGATGATATTGAAAAGGGCAACTTACTACCAGGTGATTTCCAGGTTGAGTTTGATGGTGCCAAGGTCATTGATGTCCACAGCCACCACCTGAGGTCGTGCTGCAAACAGCTCTTTGGTCTCGCAGGTCACACTGCCGACCAGGAGATGAGTTGCTAGCCCTTTGAGTTCTGTGACCTGGTGAGAGAGGGAGAGGTAAGAAAGGCCTTACAGGAGTGCAGAGGACGAAGCCAGGTTACTCTTTCCTTTGTTTTTCTTGGCCAGGGCAGGCATTTCAGAACCATATCTGAAATCAGAGGTGGATGTTTCCCAAGCCCATCTCACGTTTCCATTGCCCGCTCTGACACGAGGGCAAGTCTTTTGATGTACCTGTAGTACATACAGAGGTCTGTGGGCTGGAGGGGCAGCAGGCAGAAATCACGGGCACAGGTCTCCACGATGGACCATCCAGCCGTGGCACCAGCAAAGACAACAAACTGCAATGACGATATTGTACCTTGATGGAAATTAATCCAATTATCAGGGGCAGGAACACCATTTCTTCTCCATCCCAGGTCTGTTTGCCATTTACTTCTATTCTGCCTTTCAGTTTCCACCTCTGTCGGCCATACTTCATGAAAATCTGGGGAAAGACACCAAAGGGCCCTCAGATTCCACTGCCCTCACCCGCCTTCCCACCAAACACCAGGATGAAAAAGGCGAGTAAATACAGCAGCTACTGTTCCTCCCCTTCTCCAGCATCCTCATGACACCCACTGACTGTCGCTTCTTCCAAATTCCCTGGCAGGGGGCGTGGAGCAGAGCACCAGCAGGGAAAGGCTTTCAAAGGGGGTAAGTTCTGTTTCTCTAGGATAGAGGGTATGAAGGGCTTTCTTTAGAACAAGGTCACTGCATCGTGCCCTTTGGCTCAGTTCTTTCTCTCGTTAGTTCTACTTCAGTAGAACAACCACTGGATTAATTCTCCATACTCCCCAGCTCCTTTAGAAAGACAAGGAACCAGCAGCTAAAATCTACTTAGTGTCCAGAAGCAAGAAGCAGGGCATCCTTCTTGTGGATAAGGGAGACAGGTCTGGACAAGGATTTTGAAATCTGACACACTCTGGGGGGAGGGTGTGCAGTTTCTCCTCAGTCAGACAGCTTTACTGCTTAGAGGAAGACACATTCCCCCTCACCACCCCCGGCCAAGATGAATGATTATAGAAGGTTTTGGAGGAGATAGTTAGATGAAATCATTATGTAAGTTCCCTTCTGAAGAGGGAAAAGATAAAAAGCTTTTTTACTTTTATGGAGTATATTTTTATAAAGAAAGATCTAGATTCTATTATTCTTCAATCATGATACTTTTGAGTAGTCATAATCCTGGATTGGATCTTGCATCAGGAAAAATAAACTGCTATCAAGTACAATATTGGGACACTTGGAAAAATATGAATATAGATTGTACATCAAATGACATTAGCTAAAGGGCCAGTGCTAAGTTTGTTGGTGTAGACAATTGTACAACGTTTATATGAGAGAATGTCTTTCCACATTCAGGAAAATAATTTTTTTTTTGGCTGTGCCACATTGCTTGCAGGATCTTACTTCCCCAACCAGGGATTTAACCTGGGCCAAGGCAGTGAAAGTGCCAAGTCTTAACCACCAGACCGTCAGGAAATTCCCTCAGGAAAATAATTTAGGGGTGAAGGGTCATGATACCTGTGCATTAATCTAAAATAGTTCAGCAAAATAACAACAATAATAGTATTAATAATAATAAAGCAAATGTGACATAACGTTAAAAACTGGTTGTCTAGGTGACCCGTATATGGGAGGTCTTACCCTAATCTCCAAAATTACTTATTGGCTCAAATTTCTTTTTCAAAATAAAAAAATGTAAAAAAAAATTGAAGAAGCAAAATAATGACAGCTGACTCCTGCCTCTCAAGTCCAACACCTGGACCGACACCACACTTACTTCATATTGATCTCCGGGACAGAGGCGAGCAAAACCAGCCAGACCTGTAAGCAAGCAACTGGGATCAGAGGTGCAGAATTCATTTCCCCTCTTTATAAACCCACACTGGCACACTTATAAGACTCAAAGTGTCAGGCCTTTGTGAAAACTCATATAATAGTTTCTGGGGAACGACTGTGGGTACAGCTATTGTTGGGAATTCCATCCATCACAGCAAGAGAGGATATTCCTTTCTGGGGTGATGGGAGAGGTGCTCTCTGGGGCAGAGAAGACTGTTCTTTCTAGGAAGAGCCCCGTTAAGTTGTGAGACTGTGGGACGGATGAATCTGCTTTGCACCAGTCTCAACGGGCTATGCCAGGGTTAAGATGATAGAGAAGGTCCAGGGAGGCCTAAAAAGACACCTGCTGTTACCACTCTCTGTCAGTAGATGGCAGCAACTCACCAGTTCGTCACACCTCTCCATCCACGGAGCCGGTCCATTGAGGACCAGTTTCCACTAACAAGTAGAGCATAACAAGCCTCTTAAAAGATTTACTGAAATAAGAGCAGAATTAAAGAAGCCAATTTTCACTAATAATTTTCTGGAGGATTAGTCTTTTGTTTTTAATACTTCTGAAAAAAAGCACAATCGACTGATCTTTATAAATCACAATTGGCTGGATATACCAATTCTAATAAAGTCCTAAACACTCTTTAAAAACCTCTGCAGAAGACATAAAGTATGGACTTGAGGACACGGGGAGGGGGAAGGGTAGGCTGGGACGACGTGAGAGAGTAGCATGGACATATGTACACTACCAAATGTAAAATAGCTAGTGGGAAGCAGCTGCATAGCACAGGGAGATCAGCTCGGTGCTTTGTGACCACCTGGAGGGGTGGGATAGGGAGGGTGGGAGGGAGACACAAGAGGGAGGAGATATGGGGATATATGTATATGTATAGCTGACTCACTTTGTTATACAGCAGAAACTAACACACCATTGTAAAGCCATTATACTCCAATAAAGATGTTTTAAAAAAAAACAAACCAAAAAAAACCTCTGCAGAATATTCAGGATTTATCTACTGCCTATTTACATACCTATGCAATTACAATGGAAGCCTGGTTAAAAAACAAAACAAAAAAAACCTAAAAAACTGATCTGATATCGGTGCTGGATAAAGGAGGGTAAAGGGGAAAATCCTTTGAGGGTTTTTATTTTTTCCTTTCAAAATCACCAGAAATTTCATATTGGAAGAACTTATCCAGATGGGAGAAAGCTACTTGGTAGTGATGTTTTTGAGCTTCTCAGCTCATGTTATTACAGCAAAATTTCTTGGAAATGCTTGAGGTGGTATCGCTCTGATACTCTGATTATAACCGTAACGTGGCACGTGGCAGTAGACAGGCAAAAACAGGCCTGGGGCTGTGCTATGATTCTTCAAGTCCTCCTGCTAATGTAAGCCACTCATGGCACTGATTGCAGAAATGAAACTAACAGTGGGTCAGTTAGAGTTACCGCCTTGTATCTTTTAAACCTGGCCAGGTTTCTTTCAGACTCTGGTCTGAGGCCTGTTGGGATTTTCAGTTGGGGAAAGCTTCATGTTTTCTCAGCAGTTTGGGGATTGCTGCTGCACTGTCTACAAAGCTTTCATAATGGCCACTCCAAAAACCATCACGGGGGTTAGCACCCAGAGATGAGCATGGGCAAGTGGAGGGGCTGAGGGGGCTTTAATCTCCATGGTGCATCTTCCTGCACCTTGTGGATGTTTTACTGTAAACATCTATTACTGATAAAACAGCTCTTCCATGACCTCATTCGGAAGGCCCAGATGCTACAGTCTGCAACCGCCCACCCTGTTCTTCTTTTGCTCAGGGACCATTCTGCCAGAAGAATGTACCGCTTTTTTTTCTAGTTCTGTGAGGATCTTCCTTTCCAAAGATAAAAAAGATCACACATGTTGGCAGGCAGCGTATACACAGAGAAAAGGCTGGTTGGATATTCATGACAATCTTAGCACTGGGGGGGAGCGATTCTGAAGCTAAGGAAGTGACACTTTCTACTCCAAGGAAAACAGCCAGACAGCTGAATAGATAGGCGCTCCCATTACAGGACTGAATGATTTACTGACCAGGCATAAATAATGCAGATTTACTAGCTCCCTGGTAGATGTCCCCTCTCCCAAGGCCGGACCTGCCCTAAAAGCTGCAGGGGCCAAAACAGACTTTTGGAATATACACACTGCCTGGAACTTAATATGAAGTAGGTAATACTTGGGAGAAGTAGTTTTTCTGTAACAGACCATGTCTTTCCATCTGCAAATTGGTAGATGGGTCTAGTGCTCCCTCTTTAGCCTGGCGTTGGACCCTCTTCAAAATCTGGCGTCAAGGAGTTCCACAGCTCTCTTCCCAGGGTCCTCTCATTCTAATGCAAAGGTTACAGCGGGAAGCCTTCCTCTTCCCCGTTTCCCTCCCACAAGATAGGCGGGTGGCACCCTTTGCGCCCCCTCCTGCCACGCCCCCGCCCCCCAGGCATCGAAGCAATTGGCCACATTATTGATCCAGTAGATCATTTATTCCATGGAATTAGATTAGACTGGCTCATGCAACCACTGTCTCCAGTAGACTGTGTGGAAGTCAAGGCCAGAGACCATTCACTAGGATGCAGCCCAGAGCCTGGCCAACAGCAGGCTCAATTGTCTTTACCGTCATCACTTACCCACCCCTCCAACACCCCACAGAATGATTGCCATCTGTGTGCTGGGGAAGCGTGTGGCAGGAGGAAGCTGGCTTACCAGGTCTGAGGATATTATGAAAGATCCTCAGCTTGTGTCACTATGTATGTTGGGGGTGGTAATTCTTTTTTTTTCTTTTTTTTTTACCAGAATGAATAACAGACAAGAAAGTAGGTAACTGCAAAGATGCAAGATTTCTTGGCAGCGTGAGAGGCTCCCTTTTATCAAGAGAGGAAGATTTCCACGGGGGTGTTACCCCTGAAAGGCTTCATAGAAATAGTTCAAGTTTTCATGTTAGATTAGGAGAGTGGAAGTGAGATAAATCAATAATGAAAAAGGAGGATCACTTGCAGGTTTGAGTGACCCCCCTGGGAGAAACCCTGAACCCAGACAGAAGCCAGGGAAGCCCGTCGGGCAGGAAAGACAGAACCACGCTGAGGGTAGAGCTGGAATAGCAGGGGTGGCAGCAAGTTGAGCCCGTCTGTCATGACAGCCCATCACAACCCAGATCCGTTCTTTAGCTGGGCAGCCGGGCCCCCCGGTGGATGGTAGGGCCCCCAGAGCATCCTCGCTGACCCTCAGGCCTGAGGTCCAGGTCTGGTGGGTGGCTGTCCCTTTCCTCCCACCCACTCCTGGGTGCCTGTGTGCTGGGTGGAAGACTACCATCCCATAGAAGAGAACATGTTTTGAGCAATAGTTTATAGTATCTGTTCACCTTTGTTAGAGCGTCCCTCCTCATATGGGGCTGGGGGACGGGAATGCACTGGGAGCCACGAGCTCTGGAATTCAGTTTCAAGTTTGACTCCAACGTACCGTGTGACTTCTGGGACAAGTCACTTAACCCCACTCCCCATCGACAAAATGGGGAAATCACCAACTCACCCCAAATTGGTGACTTTGATAATAGTGAGCGTCAGAAATAGGGGAAATACGGTACTGCTTGGATTAACAGTGAGAAGACGGCATGATGGGAATCTCTCTCAGCTGTAAGACCCCAGACTGTGCTAGCCTGCGTGGAGGGTACCCGAGAGTTAGGGGAAGGAGAGAGAAGTGTTTTCTGCTAAACACTGACTCAGGGCAGTGGTTTTCCAGAAGCAGGCTGCTGACAGAATCATCCCGAGGATGAAAAACATACCCGAAGGGTGCCACCCACCTATCTTGGGGGAGGGAAACGGGGAAGAGGACGGCTTCCCATTGTAACCCTTGCCTTAGAATGAGAGAATGCTGGGAAGAGAGCTGTGGGGCTCCTTGGTGCCAGGGCCCCGCCCTGACTTGCTGAGATGGGGGCAGGGCCTGAGTGGTTTTAGAACCACTGACTCGGTGAGGACCCACAGTGAAGAGAAAGGACCTAAAAAACTGAAAAAGCACAGATGTCCCGCCTCCGTAGTAAAGTAAGTATTGAGACTTCATACTGAATAACAGACTGATTCACTACGGGATCTGCTGGAGAGAAGTACACAGCCGTGTGGGCAGCTGAGGGTCAAGGTCATGTTGATTGCAGGTACACTCAACCAGAGTAGCTCTACGGACATCACACTTGACAGAACACTTTGCCTCCTGAGTTAGGTGACTCATTGGAAAATTAAGCTCTCCTGTCAAGCACTTAAAAAAAAAGCGCCCCTTTTCTACTCCCTTAATGGCAAAACGCAGACAAGAGGGTGATTAAATCCCCGTTAGCAACCCAGGGATCCAGCTGCTAAGAAACCTCAGAAAAGGAAAGGCACACAAACTAGCCCTTCTCCCTGCGGTGAGTGGGTGAGTGGCCCAAACTCAGAAGGAAGACGGACTCGCTGTGATGGCTGCTCATCTGAAGCCCTGTTGGCCACTGAGCTGTAAATCTGACAACACCTGAAGGATGCTCCGTTTTCTACAACCAGAGCTTTTGGTTCTGAAGATGCTTGCAGTACAAATCAACAATGCTTTCAGAGTAGGACTTCCTGGAGTCAACACCAGAAAGGCACTGGGAAAAAGAGGAAAATGCACAGTCCTGTGTGGGTTTAACACTAAAAAACATTTAAAAATAAAGAAGTTGGTAGGTCGTTTATAGGAAAGTAGAGCATAAAGGAACAAACTAAATGACACCACCAAGAAGCCAACAGACAAGTCTAGAACGTGCGACATTCTGTACAACAGTGACATGTTGAAAGTGACAACAGTGACAACAGCTTCAACATGACGAGTCAATGGTAGGAAAAAAAACAAGGAGGCGTCTGTTTTAGATGAAAGGAAACTGAAAAGAGATCTCTAACGACCAATGATAATGCATGGACCTCATTTGAATCCTGATTTGAATATAACTGATTTGAGTATAACTCACTTTTGAGACCACCAGGTCATTTGCTAATGGAATGGATTCAAAACAAAGGCATATTCATTTTATTAGAAGTGATAATACTTGGCATTGTGGTGTCCCTATCATAAGATGTCCCTATTCTTTAAGAGAGGCACATTGCAGTCTACAGGGAGAGACTCCCACACCTGGCTTTTATTTCATCAAAGGAAAAACAAAGACAAGAAAACAGATGAAGCAAAGGTGGCAAAATCTTGCTGATTATTAAATGGAGGTGATGGGTCTATGGGAGTTCCTTATAATATTCTTCCATGTTTGTGTATGTTTGAGATCCTGTCACAGTAAATATTTAAGTATGTAGGCAAGTCTCAGGACGAGAAGGTTCTGGAGCATCAATAAATTAACATAAGTGGGGAGGGTTGAGAGAGAGTGGCCCAATATCTTTGCAAGGAAAATAAAAACGGTGTGTGATGTCACACTTCAAGGAGCTAGGCGGAGACGGCACCCCACTCCATGAAAAGGAGGAAGAATACCTTTCATCTTGATGGAGAACTCCCCCAGCTGCTTCTCCAGCTCTGCTTCAATGGTGCACATGTTCTAAGAAGAGCACAGGAGGCCAGCGTTAGGGCTACATTTCTTTCAAAGCACAGGATGTTCTCACAGCAGTGGACAACCACTGCTCAAATGAGAGGCATTTACCTGTTTGCGGTGAGTTACACGTATGTAGCAAATCGTCACAAAATACTTGACCTAAGCCTAAGCAAGCCTTCTAGTGTACCGGCAATTTAGAGCATAGAAGACCAAGTTAAGTTACATCATAAACAGTCAGACAAATCCAGAATGTGGGAGATTCTGAAAGAACTGGCCTGGATTCTATAAAAAGGCAGTAGAATTATGGGAAAAAAAAATTTTAGATAAAAGAGATTAAAGTGACATAACCAAATGCAATGTGTTAACTTTTATTCCATCCTGATTTGAAAGTAAATAAACTAAAACAGGTATAAAAGACATCATTGGGCCAAATAAGGGAAATTTGAAAATGCACAGGATATTAGATAATTCTATAGGAGGACTGGTAATTTTCTTAGATGTGATAATGGTGTGTGGTTATGCAAGGGATACACATGTTACATAGGTTATCATTAAAGGATCTGTGCTAAAATATTTATGGGGTGAAATGGCATGTTATCTACCGTTTACTATCAAATAACTGAGTAAAAAAGGGAAAAAAATCGAACATATGCAAGAGAAGAAAAGCAAATATGGCAAAACATTACCAAATGGAAGTCTAAATAAAGGTATATGATGTTCAACGTACTAGGCTTGACTTTTCTGAAGGGCTGAAATTTTTCTTAATAAGAATTTGGGGCAAAAAGAGCTCAGGAGGGCTTCCCTGGTGGCGCAGTGGTTGAGAGTCCGCCTGCCGAGGCAGGGGACACGGGTTCGTGCCCTGGTCCGGGAAGATCCCACATGCCGCGGAGCTGCTAGGCCCGTGAGCCATGGCCGCTGAGCCTGCACATCCGGAGCCTGTGCTCCGCAACGGGAGAGGCCACAACAGTGAGAGCCCCGCGTGCCGCAGAAAAAAAAAAAAAGAGCTCAGGAGCTCAGCTGTACTCAAAGTGAATGAGGCAGAGTTCCTGCTGCCATGCCCTGAGGCCCTCAAAATGATTCTTGGGTTTGACAAGCGTCCTCTCCTCACTCTAATGTTGAGGGACAGTAAAGGCAGAGGAGCCACACCATCTATGCCTGTGGTTAGATATCTAACCACTCGCACCCTACCTCCTCAGTGTCTGAAGACCTAAACGGAGCAATCGCAGTCAGAAATCAAGAGGAAAAGTGCTGTGGCCCTTCTGCAGCATGGCCAGTTTAAGCTTTTGATGCCACCTCTGGTGCTCTAAGCAGAAGTCCCCGTCCCATCCCCCTGCGTACACACACACACACACACACACACACACACACACCCCTGCCCCCCAGGGCAGCATCTGCAAGCTTCTTCCTCCATCCCAGCTGGGGGCTCGGATGCGTGGCCTGGGCAGCTCAGTGAGCACAGACAGGGGCTACTTCCATTTGGATTTTGTTTGCAAAGGAATTCAGAATTGATTTGCAAGCTAGAGGTGCTGACTCTTAAATGTTGGTACCTCAAGTAGCTTAGCAAAGCTGGGGAAAACTCCTGAGGTTGGGTTCTGTGCAGCTGGAAAGTTTCGAAAACAAAGTCTCAGTTTTGTAAACCAATTTTCTTCCTCAGAGCACTGGGTGTCTCTGGGAAGGAATGCATTACTGTTTCTAGAAATACATCAACGATGTTATCACGCGTGTCAGGACTGCGACCAGTGTCTTTGAAAAACTTGGGGGGCAGCTAGTTTAACAGCTGAGGACATCCATGGTCAGAATTGCCTTCTGTCTCACCCAGGCAGCCATGGATGCACACTGCTGCCCTTGCAAAGGCACCCAGAACCATCTATTCCTAAACCCTCTTTGGGATAAAATGCTGGTTTTTGTGGTTATGTGAAGATACGAATCCACTTGATGTCAAGTGAGGTAGGAAGCTACAGAAGTCTTGGACGTCTTTCTCCTCTTGCTGAAATTACACTCTACATCTTTGAATTTGTGAGGAAATATGATGCCATGTCTTGGCGCTTGACCACCAGGGGGTATTTCTGAAACAAACGACAAAAGTTCTGGGACAGGCACCGGCTGCCACTCAGTCCTCCTACGTGTGTACTCTGAACGGCCTCCTTCACTGGCAACTGCTCTTTTGATTTCACAGATGTGTGGAAATGAGGTCTCATGAACTAGGGCTGCTTCGAAGCCAGAGATTCTTAACCTGTGCTCCATCAGCTTGGATGGGGAAAAAAGAAAGTCACATCGCTATTTCCACTAACCTCTAACTGATATCTAATACGTCCATACATCATGAACATAGAAAACACGCCGCAGCCGTATGACTAGTACCTGTGACTTAGACCTGATAACAGTCACGTCTATGTTCATGTCACATCAATTGTTGCAGGTACCTTGAGAAATCGTTTCTATTTTTCATTACTTTCAAATTGCAATAGTTATTGGAGCCACTGCTAAATCTTGTAGTTTGATGAGTTAATAAGGCAGCAGTCTTGTACTGTATCACACATTTGATTTTAAAAATATTTTGATCACTGTACTGACAATATTGAAATAACTATTTCTTTCTTTTTTTTTTTTTTGCAGTACGCGGGCCTCTCACCGCTGCGGCCCCTCCCGTCGTGGAGCACAGGCTCCGGACGCGCAGGCCCAGCGGCCATGGCTCACGGGCCCAGCCACTCCACGGCACGTGGGATCTTCCCGGACTGGGGCACGAACCCGTGTCCCTTGCATCGGCAGGCGGACTCCCAACCACTGCGCCACCAGGGAAGCCCGAAATAACTGTATTTCAATATAATTTGTTTCCTTTGAATTCCTATGGGTTTCATTTTATGCATTCAAAAAGCATTCTCCCAAATGGAGAGAAAGAAGCCCTGTTTTAGACCATGAAAAAAGACAAATTTGGTTCAGACAAGAGGCAGGGCTGGAGGGTTACACAGGAAGCAATGCTGTGGCAAGTCATCCAAGACATCCCTCCCGTCCCAGGGCTGAGACCGGATGCTCAGCTCTGGGAATTGTCCAGCAGACCCTCATCAGGCCGATGACTTCATTCATGAAATTGGATCTTTGAACAAAGACACATGGGAGAATGAGAAGTGCTGCTTTAATAATTCAGTCATTTCATCAAAGGCACTGGTTTCGGGTGACCCCCAGAGGAGTGAAGACCTCCCTGTGTCATATGTTTGGGCCCCAGAGACAGTCAGAAAGCAGGAAAGCACGCTTCTGTTCATGGTTCTTTATCTCGCCTCCTTTAAGATAGAAGGGAAATTTCTTACAATAAAATAATCGTAGGCAGGAGGTGGGTGAACCCAATATCCAGGGCAGCCACCTTAACCACAAGGTCTGTTCAATTTGCAGGGATAAAGCTAGACTAGATTGTACACTAGAGAATCTGGAAGTGCATTTCAATGACCAATACCAGGGCATTTGTGACTTACTCATTTGCTGAAATTTTTAACATGCATTCGTAGTCTATTTGTGCAGAGACTATACACATAAAGAAGTATAAGATTTGGTCAGTGAATGGCTTCACAGTGTCTAAAATCTTGTGGATTTACACGTCCATGAACAAACCTATTACCAGGCACTAGGAGGTGAGTGCCTGACAGGTGACGCTCACAACAGAAAGTCACATGGTCTGGAGTTCACAGAAGGCTCTAAACAAAAATACAACCAACAGGGCTCCCCTGGTGGCGCAGTGGTTGGGAGTCCGCCTGCTGATGCAGGGGACACGGGTTCGTGCCCCGGTCTGGGAAGATCCCACATGTCCCAGAGCGGCTGCGCCCGTGAGCCATGGCCGCTGAGCCTGCGCGTCCGGAGCCTGTGCTCCGCAACGGGAGAGCCCATGACAGTGAGAGGCCCGCGTACCACACACACACAAAAAAATGCAACCAACAAAACCACCCGAGAGCCATTTTAAACAGCTCCACCGATGGCCTCAAGGAAACACAAGACAGGCAAATAGTAAAACGTCTCTCTCTAAAGAGTAGAATGAGGTTGAGGGTGCCATTCCCCTGGTTCTTAGCAGGTATCGACAATTCAGATTGGGCCAGGTGGGGTTCAGCAGCCGAGCAGGTTGACACATACCTCTGTGTACTCTTTGTAGCTCCGGTGGATCTCTGACAGGCTCTCCCGGGCAGCTTTGCTGGCAGGGGACGTTGCGAAGGCTTGCTTCATCTTGCTGGCACCATCTTGGAGGCGTCTTTGGATACAATAAGCTTCATAGAGTTCATCTACCTGCCGGAATCAAAACAGAAACACAAGGGACATAAATATTTGTCACACTTGAAGGAAGTGACATTGGCCATTGTTAAGTGCTTAAGGTACTTTATGTTTCTGACCTCAAAAGGAGAATCTTGTAGAAATGTCATCCTTTTAGACAGATCCATCATTTTTGTTTTAGCCACATGATCCATTTTCTATTTCAAACTGGATTTTACTCTGAGCTCTCTTTTCAAATGACACAAAATGAAAATGAACTTAACGTTGGTGGACTGCGCGAGACAAGGTTTAGATAATGAAGACAGGAGTCTTTTATATAAGGAACGAACACTGGAAGAGTGTATGCAGTTTCAAACCAATGTGAAGACGTTGCATTATACTGGGCTATTATCACTTTATTTTAAGAGAGTGTCACAAGGTGATATTCACGCATCCAGATTTAGATTTTTTTAAAAAAAAGAACTCAAGGCTATGTATCGAAAACGATTTTTGTAAAGATGTGGCCCAACAAAAGAGAGAAAACAAAGGTAAGTTATTCTTAAAATTAGGGTGAAGCATGACTGTTAAAACTTAACAGACTGAACATAATAACTGACATTTTGGGCATGTAATTTATACCACAATTTAAAAAAGTAAATGGGAGGAATGGAAATGAACATTTCTCTGCAATACCTCTATATTTAGGCTTTTAAATAATAATATACCCATTGCAAATGGCTATTGATCATATTCATTATATAAGCCTGACAGTCACTTAATACTTCTAAGGCAGTGATTCTCAATCAATCCAAGGTGATTTTGATATTCAGGGGACATTTGGCAACATCTGGAGACATTTTTCGGTGTCACAGCTGGGAGGTGTTACTAGCATCTAGTTGGTAGAGGCCATGGATGCTGCTAAACATCCTGTAACACAGAGGACAGCCCCCTACAACAAAGAATTATCCCCAAACATCGATAGTGCCTAGGCTGAGAAAACATACAGCTATATCTGACGATACTTATCTCTATAGTCTCTTGTCCTATCTTCAATTATCAACACACCAACCACAGTTAACTACAGGAATTATTAGGTAGATTAAGAAGGATATCACCAGACATTATGTTTTCTGGGAGGCAGTTATCTACCTAGGACTGCTTGAATTTTTCATTTCAGTACAGACTTTGTTCCCTCAAAAAGGAGGCTACAGTTGTAGAACCAGAAGAAGGTAGAGGTGAATATGATGGACTTCAGGGTTTAACATTCCCCTTTTGTTCTGAAGGCAAACTTTTGGCTGATCACTAAAAAGCATTACTATTACCTGTTAATAGTACAATTTTCCATAGTTGCTTTCTCTATACAAATGTCAATGACACTTAGCTTAGCATATGAATGTTAGTTAAGAGACTGAAAATGATTCTCTTGGTTAAAAGCATTCTTTGTTGCTCTTCAACAATTCACTCCACTTCACTGAGAGGAATCGTCAAAACTCCGGAAGGAACAGTCTTTCCTCTTTGGGGTTGGTGGGTTTGTCTCTGAATAAGAGGGAGGTGTAAGACCCAAGGGGTTGTGGCATATCTGCTGATAGGATCCTTTGGTTGGGTGACTAGCATAGAGGGTGGTTTCCATACATTAAGGCTAAGCTAAGACTCACTCGGTGAGCTTGTTAAAATGAGGATGCCCAGGCTCCACTTTGAGATGCTGATTCAGTAGGCTAGGGATGGGTGAGGAGTCTGAAACTTTAAGTAAACGGTACAGATGGTTCTGACGCGGCCGGTCCCCTAGACACTTAGAAACACAAGAGCTGATATCTCTTCGGATGCAGGCCGGGCTGTTTCACCCGTATGGCCTTCCGGGGGACTGTCCCTTCAGCCCTTCCCCCACTGTAGTCCAAAGACTGTAATCCTGTCAACAAGGAAACTGCTAACTGGACCACTGGTATAGCCCTAACGACTTAGTATACTACTTTGCATTTAAAGAAAAGTTTACCCTTGCTTTCATTTAAATATCAATCTACCCTAGCCAAATGGAGTTAACCTTTAGAATAAAGGATAACTATGTACTCACCTAAGCAGAAACTGGCCCATCTGTAGGCAAGAATTTGTCTTACCTATAAGTCAGCAGTGGCTCTCACCAAAATAAACCGATTAATCAATTAAATATCATTTGTTAGGATTTGTTAGGGATCCATCCATAAGATGCTGCAGATAGAGGACTTCCAACCTTTAATAACCACTAGGATTGTTATATCTTACAATGATGGATACAAGATGGATAAATACTCTCTTACCTAATACTAATCGTTTTCTTGGTATTTTTCCGAGTAAACAGAGTAATTTCAAAGCTTGCCCGCCACATAAATATCTTCTAATGGATGTAATTGTTTGTTTGTTTATTTATTTATTTAGGCTGCACCGGATCTTAGTTGTGGTACGCAGACTCTTAGGTGTGGCAGGCGAACTCTTAGTTGCAGCCTGCATGCAGGATCTAGTTCCCCGACCAGGGATCAAACCCGGACCCCCCGCACTGGGAGTGAGGAGTCTTACCCACTGGACCAACCAGGGAAGTCCCTGTTTTATTTACTGAGTTGAACAGAAATAGGAGCAACTGCAGATCTGCCAAGGTAATAAATATCTTTCAAAGTGGGAATGGGAATGTACAACGGCAGTAGCATATACATATGTTTAGATCATCATAGAATTTTAAACTGGAAAGGATTCTTAGGATCATCTAGATTGACTATGTGCACCTCCAGCCTCACTGCATGGAGTGGAAAGCCAAGGTCCACACAGATGTTATAGCTCAGTGAGTACGTGGCAGAGATGGGACTAAAACCTGGGGCTTCTGACCACTAGTAGAGAGAACTGCTAAAACCTGCAGCCTCTCCACTTGGAGCACACGATGATGGGTGCAGATAAGCACGGGAATTGACAATGGTGTGATCCAGCTGCCCTCAAAGGGACATTGCTTCTAGGTTGTACTGATACCGCCTGATGGTGTCCAGAACAGGGTCGGGGGGATAGTCCCACTCCACGTTAGGCCGGTGGGACCATCAGTCAACTATTTGTAGGGTTCAGGGCTGGATGTCAGGGACCCTGACAAACTGGTGTACGTAGAGGGGGGCAATGAGGATGAAAAGGAATCTGGAAACCCAGCCATGTGAAGAGTGGAAGGAACTAAGAGCTTGAGAACGATTGAGGGAGCTACATGACAGCTGTTGTTAAGTACTTTAAAGGCCTTCACGAAGAAGGCTATGGGGGTACCAAGTTGTATGTGGGACCTGAATGTAAAGTTAGGCAAGTGTGAAGATTTTCGTAGGTCAGTTTGGTTTAATCTTATCTCTAACCAGACTGCATCCTCTACCAGGCACCGTGCACGCTGCAAAGGAAACAATAAATTATCTGTTGAACTGAAGCAGAGTAAACAATGTGCTAGGTAATCAGGCTCTCCATTCTTATGTTTTTTCTACAACTTTACTGCCTGTTGGAGGATTTAATTGCTGATCAGCTTAGGAGTCAATTGGATAAGAAATTCTCCATGGACTAGAGGCTGTGCTCAGGCCAAAGGTGTATTGATCAGTGACAGAACTGAAAAACAGGCAAAGGCAAGAGGAACGTCAGTTACCTTACTGATGTGAAACTCCAGGCGTCTCACGTATCTTTCAATTGTTTTAATTTGCTGGAATAAAAGAAGAAATTTGAAAAAGTACAGCCATTTACAGTTCCACTGATTAGACTTGTGTGACTATCTTTATTATCTCATACTCAAAAGTACCAGAAGATGTTAACTATTTCCCCTTTCCTCCTATCTCTGTTGCTACTTTAAAGATTCTCTAGTATCAACTTAGAAAGTATTTTTTAAAAAAATATTGAATAAATACTCTGAGAGATGAACTTGAGTTAGCTATTGGAATCCTCATGTTTAACATTGAGAGGGGCCAACCAAATGGAATTCACTGGATTTCTGGCAGGACAGTATCATATTGGAGTATACTTAAGTTTCTTCATAATAACATTTTATCAGCTCAAATATGAACTCGCCCCCCCCATTTTAATGTCTCTGAAATGGGGTGCATTTTACAACTGCAACTGTCTGTGCACGCCCCAAGATAATCATAGTTGGTTATGTGTCATCTCTTCCATTTGAGTTATAAATATTATCACATGCGTTAAATTTAATTACCCTTTAAAATATCTGCAAACAGATTATACTATGATTCAGTATTTTTTTAAACATCTTTATTGGAGTATAATTGCTTTACAATGGTGTGTTAGTTTCTGCTTTATAACAAAGTGAATCAGCTATACATATACATATATCCCCATATCTCCTTCCTCTTGGCGTCTCCCTCCCACCCTCCCTATCCCACCCCTCTAGGTGGTCACAAAGCATCTAGCTGATCTCCCTGTGCTATGCGGCTGCTTCCCACTAGCTATCTATTTCACATTTGGTAGTGTATATATGTCCATGCCACTCTCTCACGTCGTCCCAGCTTACCCTTCCCACTCCCCATGTCCTCAAGTCCATTCTCTACATCTGCATCTTTATTCCTGTCCTACCCCGAGGTTCTTCAGAACCTTTTTTTTTTTTTTTTAGATTCCATATATATGTGTTAGTATACGGTATTTGTTTTTCTCTTTCTGACTTACTTCACTCTGTATGACAGACTCTAGGTCCATCCATCTCACTACAGATAACTCAATTTCATTTCTTTTTATGGCTGAGTAATATTCCATTGTATATATGTGCCACATCTTCTTTATCCATTCATCTGTCAATGGACACTTCGGTTGCTTCCATGTCCTGGCTATTGTAAACAGAGCTGCAATGAACATTGTGGTACATGACTCTTTTTGAATTATGGTTTTCTCAGGGTATATGCCCAGTAGTGGGATTGCTGGGTCATATGGTAGTTCTATTTTTACTTTCTTAAGGAATCTCCATAGTGTCTGTATCAGTTTACATTCTCACCAACAGTGCAAGAAGGTTCCCTTTTCTCCACACCCTCTCCAGCATTTATTGTTTGTAGATTTTTTGATGATGGCCATTCTGACTGGTGTGAGGTGATACCTCATTGTAGTTTTGATTTGCATTTCTCTAATGATCAGTGATGTTGAGCATCCTTTCATGTGTTTGTTGGCAATCTCTATATCTTCTTTGGAGAAATGTCTATCTAGGTCTTTGGCCCATTTTTGGATTGGGTTGTTTGTTTTTTTGTTATTGAGCTGCATGAGCTGCTTATAAATTTTGGAGATTAATCCTTTGTCAGTTGCTTCATTTGCAAATATTTCCCCCAATTCTGAGGGTTGTCTTTTGGTCTTGTTTATGGTTTCCTTTGCTGTGCAAAAGCTTTTAAGTTTCATTAGGTCCCATTTGTTTATTTTTGTTTTTATTTCCATTTCTCTAGGAGGTGGGTCAAAAAGGATCTTGCTGTGATTTATGTCATAGAGTGTTCTGCCTATGTTTTCCTCTAAGAGTTTTATGGTCTCTGGGCTTACATTTAGGTCTTTAATCCATTTTGAGTTTATTTTTGTGTATGGTGTCAGGGATTGTTCTAATTACATTCTTTTACATGTGGCTGTCCAGTTTTCCCAGCACCACTTATTGAAGAGGCTGTTTTTTCTCCATTGTATATTCTTGCCTCCTTGATCAAAGATAAGGTGACCATATGTGCGTGGGTTTATCTCTGGGCTTTCTATCCTGTTCCATTGATCTATATTTCTGTTTTTGTGCCAGTACCATACTGTCTTGATTACTGTAGCTTTGTGGTATAGTCTGAAGTCCAGGAGCCTGATTCCTCCAGCTCCGTTTTTCTTTCTCAAGATTGCTTTGGCTATTCGGGATCTTTTGTGTTTCCATACAAACTGTGAAAATTTTTGTTCTAGTTCTGTGAAAAATGCCATTGGTAGTTTGATAGGGATTGCACTGAATATGATTCAGTATTAAAGGTCTCGTATGTACAGAAATGTGTGGAAAGAAAGAGCATCATATATAACTTAAAAAATATATCTACATTTAAAATAGACCTAAGAGAGTTTTGTCACTAAGTATAAAATACATATTTTAAGTGAAAAGAAAGAACTGTGTCACAGTGTAGCTGTAATCACTCTTTTTCTTAGTGGCAAATAAGATAATGATGTGTTTTCCAATCAAAGAGGTCTTCCATTTGATGAAATATGATAGTTCCCATTTAGAGAGAACACAGGTAAGGACCTTCAAACCCTTGGGAAATTCTTAAACTTAACCAGAACACTGAGAAACCCTGCAACCAGGTGACTTTTTTTTTCTTTACAAAAGTGACCTTAAACACATTATTGGGTCTGTAGATCATAGTACTTATGATCTTTCATCATCCTCATTAGATAAAAGCATGAACTTTTCTAGGATTAGAAAAATCATCATTTCTCTAGGATCTTACTGTACCTAAGCAAGCATCACTGACTTCTCCTCAAGGATGAAGGATTTTATTTCCCAGTAACTCCCCAACACAGAACAATAACTTACCTTGTCTAGGTCATACAGCACACCCTAAAATTAAAAAAAAAGGAGTATCTGGATTAAAACACGTCTTCCTCAAAACCGTTACTGATATGAATCAAAGGATTTTGTCTGCATTTCTGCATTGTCAGCGAAATAATGATTAGCCCCATAATGTCTGTTGGACTTTTTGATATTCGCTTTAAAAGAGTAAATCCGTGTTATTTTAAATAATAGTAAGAATACTTTTAAGAGCTAATATTTATTTATACTCTGTGTCTCCAGAATTCTACCCAGTCCTCTCTGCCTTCTGGGAGCCTTAAGACGTTCACTTGCTTTGGGCTCTCCTCTCTTACATAGTGAGGGACACATAAATTCACGTCCACTTAAATGTTTTTTTAAATGTTTTTAACATAAAAAGTAGCAGTGATTATATGTGTTAAAAAAAAGACTTGGGCTTCCCTGGTGGCGCAGTGGTTGAAAGTCCGCCTGCCGATGCAGCGGACATGGGTTCGTGCCCCGGTCCGGGAAGATCCCACATGCCTCGGAGCGGCTGGGCCCGTGAGCCATGGCCGCTGAGCCTGTGCGTCCAGAGCCTGTGCTCTGCAACGGGAGAGGCCACAGCAGTGAGAGGCCCACGTACCGCAAAAAAAAGAAAAAAAAAGACTTGCCTTCCTGTTTAAACACATAAAAATTGGCATTTAAGAAGAGCCCTTGAGAGTGGTGAAAGCTTTTCACAAATTGTTTTTAAAGCAAGTTTATTCCTGTGTGCTCACAATATCACAGTATAATCAGTACTCTAAGCCCACATCCCCCATCAGGAGGGTTTTTATGGAACATGAGGTCCTGCTGGAAGCTCCTCCATCCATACACCATTGTTCTCCAAGGAGGAACGTTTGTTGCCATTGAGGACTGCCAGGGACATTCAAAAGCTCTGAAGGCCACTCCACATTGAGTTCCACATAAATGGGAGCAATTTATCTTCTAATATTATTAGAATCTAAAACTTTTAACTCCTATGAAGGCTTTAACCTCTAAGCCTTTGAAAAGGATAACATCTTTTAAAAAAAAGAAGGTAACAGCTATTCATGTATATGTGTACCTCGTATACATAGACTTTTCCTGGGCTTTCTGATGCCTTAAAACTTTAAGGCATAATATCATTTAGAACTTAACAAAATCATTAGAAACACCTCTTCAAGAGACAAGTCCTCACAATTCATTAGAGTAAAGGAAACTTGCAAGCATCTCCAACAATACAGTGTGTAGTTGAACTGGCTCAAGGACGCCTCTGATTTCTTCTACCAATGACCTCTTGAGCCTCCTTTTCCTCTCGGGTATCACTGACCTACTACAATTTTAAAAAATTGGATATAAAGGAAAGTTCTGGGTTCCAAATGCTGTACTAACAATATGGTAGGCAAACCCCAACTTTTCATTTCCTTATATTACTTGGGAAGAGGAGTATAGGGAGTTGGCTTTTTTAAAGTATTTTTTCCTGGGCTTCCCTGGTGGCGCAGTAGTTGAGAATCTGCCTGCCAATGCAGGGGACACGGGTTCAAGCCCTGGTCTGGGAAGATCCCACATGCCACGGAGCAACTAGGCCCGTGAGCCACAACTACTGAGCCTGCGCGTCTGGAGCCTGTGCGTCTGGAGCCTGTGCTCCGCAACAAGAGAGGCCGTGACAGTGAGAGGCCCGCACACCGCGATGAAGAGTGGCCCCTGCTTGCCACAACTAGAGAAAGCCCTCGCACAGAAACGAAGACCCAACACAGCCACAAATAAATAAATTTTTAAAAATAATAATAATAAAGTATTTTTTCCTGATTACAAAGTTTGTCTGCATAAACATGCTTGGAAAATACTGGAACATATGAAGCATTAAAATAAACATCAGGAAACACATGGCACTTTGTCCCTTGGATCTGCTTTTCTTGAACTTTCTTCCTTGTCCCCATGTCTATCCAGTAAGAGAAGTTAGCCAAAACAAACAAACAAAAAACCAAAAAACCCACTGTGTTAACACCCTAAGGATTAGATGGTACCTACCAGGCGAGAGTTTCTTCTCATATCTTTTAACTGAGCTGTCAACTTGTCCAGCTCTGTCTGGTGAACCTCCAGATACTCACTGCAAAGAAAAGAGACGTGATCGTGAACTCTGTGACTGTCAAGTGGAATCTGATGCTGATGCTGACCTTTCCCTTCTAAAGGGGGGGCATTAGGAACCTGAACCTTGCTCTGTAGAGCACAGAGCTGGCAGGGAAGAGGCTCTGCATTTTCCTAAACTCTCCACATTTTGAAAGATCTAGCAGTTGAATCTGATACTATCCAGATAGTCAAAAAGGAGAATGCCTATGAAGCTGGCATAGCAGGAAAGAAAAACCAATGTGGAGGGAACGGCAAGAACTATGGAGTCAGTCCTGGATCTGGGCTCACAGAATTCTATCTAGTTCCATAGGACACTGACAGTATGCATCTCACCACATACTAGGGAAGTTTTATTCTGGACAAATCATTGCTATAATATACTCAAGAACGTTTTAGAATGCTTCTTCAGCAATATCTAAAACAGATATGCCTGTCTACCAGTGTTTAAGTAAAATACAATATTACACAGAGTTAAATATAAACATATTACTATTTCAGGTCTCCTTCAACGTTTGGTTATGATATGGAAACCCGATCAAGTTCATATCTTTGGGACTCACTTAAGGCTTCCTCAATTATGGTGCAATAATAAAACAACTACTACAGAAATAGACATTCTAAAATTATCTCATAAGACTAGCTTTTGTGACCCTCCCAAGCATTTTAGAAAGGAAAAAGGTTTCAGTGCATTATTAGGTTTGATGTTCTTACTCAAGTCCATTTTTCAAAGCCCTGTAGACCTCTTCCACCCTTTTAGGCTGAGGCTCTTTGGGAGGGCTGCTGTTTTTGTATCCTAAATTGTGCATTTTCTTCAGTTTGGCCTGAGGCTTCTTGAGAGCAGAGGGATTTTCAATGAAGGAGTTACATCTACGGAAAGAGAAAAGAAAAGCTGAAATTGAGTCTTGGTCATCCAAAACGATCTGACCAAAGAAATGCCTTTTAATCATCTTGTGTTTGTGTCAGTGTCTTTTGGGGAAGGTAACGTTCCCTTGTATATTAATAGATCTGAGCCATCCTTCATTTAGTTTTGTGGTGTTAGAGTTAACTGCTGAAATCTGGAAGCTTTGCTGGGCAGTAGTTACCCAGAGTCAAAGCCTGGATTCAGGTAATGTACACTCTGAGTGAAAGCATGTCACATCACTGAAACCTCACGGGAAGCCAAGAACAAACACTTCTAGGTGGAAATAATGAACAGGCAGAAGAATGTAATTCAGCTAAAAAAATATGTGCACTATGTGACATCAGGCATAAGCGTCTATTAAATTTGACTGGGATGTGCATGAATAGTTTTTAAATAAAGGGCCATAAGCATGACAAAGGGCTAATGCTGTATATAAACACATCTTATTTTATTGCACTTCAAAGATATTGTGTTTTTTCACAAATTGAAGATTTGTGGCAACTTTGTATGTCAGATGATGGTTAGCATTTTTTAGCAATAAAGTATTTAACTAAGGTATGTACAATTTTTTTTAGACATAATGCTATTGTACACTTAATAGACTGTAGTGTAAACATAACCTTTATATGCACTGTGAAACCAAAAAATTTGTGTGACTTGCTTTATTATATTTGTTTTATTGCAGTGGCCTAGAACCAAACCTGCAGTATCTCTAAGGTATGTCTGTAGTGTTAAAGTAAAGAAAAGCACACATAGCTGGATGAATAGACTTTTTTAAAGTTTACTTATTTATTTATTTATTTTTTGGCTGCACCGAGAGGCCTGTGGCATCTTAGTTCCCCGATTAGGGAGCAAACTGGGGTCCCAGCAGTGAAAGCGCTGAGTCCTAACCACTGGACGGCCAGGGAATTCCCTTAAGCTTTATTTTTATGGAGTAAACTTTGTTTAGGTATAACATGAAACTCAACATCCCTATTAGTGGCAGGGAGGCAGCCTACAGTGGTAAGATGGACACCTGGTAACTTAAACCCAAACTACTGATCTGATTAGGAAGCTCAGAGGCCAGACTACTCACTGACCCAGCTATTGAGTGGAAAGCCGTGACCTCTGAGTCTGGTAGGTGTCTGCTGTGCACCTTCCAGGTTAATTCTTACTTTCCTCTGCCATTACCGTGTGCACCAAAGGGGACAATACAGGTCAAAGCACATAAGACCCCTAAGAATGTAAGATCTTTATCATGTCAGAAAAACTGAGGACGAACTTTACTCCATGTTACCTATTTCACTACCTGTGTTCTTTTTCTTGAGTTCCTCTAAGTCCTATTTTAGATGAGGGGAGATTCTAGGGAAACTGAAGACTAACATTCCCAAGCTTGTGTCTGAAAGACATCTGCTCCCCAGAGTCAGTCTGCAGAGTCGGTCTTTATCGACTACGTAACTTCATACCAAAAATAATCTCCCAAGTCTGGCTACAGTGGAATGTGCTTCAAAAAGGGGTGCAGGGTGATTTCAAACTCTATTACGAAGCTATAGTAATTAAAACAGTATGGTATTGGCATAAAAACAGACACATAGATCAATAAATAGAGAGCCCAGAAATAAACCCACTCATATATGGTCAGTTAATTTACGACAAAGGAGCCAATAATATGCAATGGGGAGAAGACTGTCTCTTCAATAAATGGTGCTGGAGAAACTGGACAGCTACATGCAAAAGAATAAAACTAGACCCTCTCTTACACCATATAAAAAAATTAACTCAAAATGGACTAAAGACTTGAATGTAAGACTTGAAACCATAAAACTCCTAAAAGAAAACATAGGTAGTAAACTCCTTGACATGGGTCTTGGCTATGATTTTTTTGAATATGATACTGAAAGCAAAAGCAACAAAAGCAAAATTATACAAGTAAGACTACATCAAACTAAAAAATAAAAAGCTTCTGCAAAGCAAAGGAAACCATCAACAAAATAAAAAGGCAATCTACTAAATAGGAGGAAATATTTGCAAATCATATCTGATAAGGAGTTAATATCCAAAATATATAAAGAACTCATACAACTCAATAGCAAAAACCAAACAACCCAGTTAAAAAATGGGCAGAAGATCTGAACAGACACATATCCAAAGAAGACATACAAATGGCCAAAGGGTACGTGAAAAGATGCTCAACAGCATTAATCATCACAGAAGTGCAAATCAAAACCACAATGGGATATCACCTCACCCCTGTTAGAATGGCTATTATCAAAAAGACAAGAAATAACATGTGTTGGCAGGTATGTGGAGAAAAGGCAACCTTTGTGCACTGTTGCTTGGAATGTAAATTGGTGCAGCCCCTATGGAAGACAGTATAGAAGTTCTTCAAAAAATTAAAAATAGAACTACCATATGAGCTGGCAATTGCACTTCTGAGTATTTAACCAAAGACAATGAAAACATGAACTCAAAGATTTCTGCACCCCCATGTTCATTGTAGCACTATTTACCATAGCCAAGATTTATGGAAACAAGCTAATGTCCAATGAATGGATGAATGCATAAAGAAATTGTGATACATATGGCTGAGTAATATTCCTATATATATATATAGGAATATTACTCAGCCATAAAAAAGAATGAAATCTTGCCGTTTGTGACAACATGGAAAGACCTCGAGGGCATCACACTTAAGTGAAGTAAGTCAGACAAAGACAGATACTGTACGATCTCTCATACATGGAATCTAAAAGAAAAACAACAAAAAACCAAACTCATAGATATTGGTGACTGTCAGAGGCAGGGAGTGTGGGCAGGATAGAAGAAATGGGTGAAGGAGATCAAAAGGTAAAAAAAAAAAAGGTAGCAATTCAAATTAGGGGGAAAGGGCTTCCCTGGTGGCGCAGTGGTTGAGAGTCCGCCTGCCGATGCGGGGGACACGGGTTCGTGCCCCGGTCCGGGAAGATCCCACATGCCGCGGAGCGGCTGGGCCCGTGAGCCATGGCCGCTGAGCCTGCGCGTCCGGAGCCTGTGCTCCGCAATGGGAGAGGCCACAACGGTGAGAGGCCCACGTACCGCAAAAACAAACCAACAAACAAACAACAAAAAAAAAATTAGGGGGAAAAAGACTACAATATATGGTGTTACAATGGATATATATAAAAAGCCTTTATTGTTCTGTAAGAAAATATGTAAATATCCACCCCCAAAATAGGCAATGGATGTGAATGCACTGGTTATTCCCAAAATAAATACAGAAGACAAGTAAACTTATGAAAGCACATTTAACCTCGTTAGGGATGACATAGAAGACTGGAAAAGATTTTTAGAAAATGCTCAGTATCAACAGATGTGTGGATAAAGGTAAATCTGTTGTTACTGGTTAGAGGATAAATGGGTTCAAACATTTGGAGGCACTCTGGCAAAAGGCATCAACAGATCTGAAAGAAATGGGGTGGGGGTAGGGAGAGCTATACATATGTATTGCTAGCTTGTCCTAAATCTTCTTTGAAGGAGGAATTCTAAATGATAGAAATCTGGGGAACATTACATCTTTTTCATGAAAGAGATGAAAATAACACAGGTGTGTGTTTTGACAAGGCCACATGCACACGGACCCTCTTCAGAGCACCAAGGCTCACATCCCTCTCAAGCTGCGTCCCAGGAGAGAAGCACACACAACTTGCCTGGATCGCCTCTCCTGAAGGCCACTGAACCCCGCAAAGGACTGGCTCCGGATGATCCCATTGGGCCCTCCAGGCGAGAAGGACTGGGATCCTACCAACATGATTTCTGGGAGTCTGGCTGGCAGTCCTACAAGACAACAGAAAGATTAAGGCAAATTACAGGCAGGTTCAAACAGAAAACACGCGAAGCTTGTCAACGGTAATAGGAGGTGACATGAGGAAAGGTGAGTCATGAGGCCATTAGATGCTTGTAAGACTTCTTGCCTCCGACATGTTCTTTTTAAGCCAAAGGGTTCAGCTCTCAGGTGGACCTGAAGAAACACATGAAGATGTAAATAAATATAAATTACACACCATTATCAGTTACTTTACGGTTCCTTCAGGGATTTTTTTTTTTTAAACAAGGTTCAACCATACCCTCAAAATACTCAAAAACTTTGGAATGTTTCCCTCCATTTAGGACAACAATAGCAATAGCAAAAGGAAACAAATAGGCCAAGTCAAGTTTCAGATAGGTTCTGCGTGACATTCAAAACACAGTCCAGTCTTAGGGTGGAATTCTACACTTAGAAGTCACAAGGCTAAAAACACTAGGTTTCTTGAGAGATGAACTTACTTAAACTTGTTCTCCCTTTTTCTACCCTTAAGTATATTTTGAAAGATAAGATCGTGCTGCTCTTGTGGCAGTGATAAAAAAGAAGAGCACAGAGAACGCTCACAGAAGTAGTGATAATCTAGGTTATGATAAGAACACAAGAGAAGAGGCAAGAAAGGTAAAGGGGAAAATACAGCAGAAGGCACACACCCTATTTCAGTCGTTAGCTCACCTTTTATAAAGACTCATCACCACTGACCAAGACACGTTGTCAAAATACAACTTCAGCTGGACAGAAGCCCAAGATTAGTTCCCCCAAAGGACTGCCCTAGAACAGTTAGGTAATTCTATTCCCTTTAGATCAGGAAGAGTCAAAGCACATACCATTGTCTTAGCAGGTAACCTCAGTCCAGAGAGGGGGATGGGCTAGCAGGAGAAAGGGGACACAGCCGCTGTCCAGACTAAAGACTTCCAAAGTGGGCAGCCACTAATAGCATCAATAGTTGCCCTTTAAAAACCCACCAAACAGGGCTTCCCTGGTGGCGCAGTGGTTGAGCGTCCGCCTGCCGATGCAGGGGACACGGGTTCGTGCCCCGTTCCGGGAGGATCCCACATGCCGCGGAGCGGCTAGGCCCGTGCTCCGCAACGGGAGAGGCCACAACAGTGAGAGGCCCGCGTACCGCAAACAAACAAACAAACAAACAAAAAAACCCCAGCAAGCAAGCAAGCAAAGCTAAAAAACAGCAGCAAAACACTCTTGTGTCCATCTAGATGTAATGGAAAAGCCAACTTCACTGGGCCCTACTCAAAGCTATTTGAAGCAGCTCAGCCAAGGGAGGGGGTTTGAGTGAGTTACTTCCCCAGAGAGAGAACAAACAGCCCCCTTCCCCATGAGGCTGCAGGTTGCTAAATCCCCTCCTCCCCACCCACCCCAGGAGAAAGCAGCTCTGAGGAAGCACGCATGCATTCTTGCTGACTCACTTGGCAAGAGGCTTTGCAATGAGCAACAGGTTGCTCTTTGATCTGGGTAGGACAGGCATCCCACCCAGTCCAGCTAGGGATGGAGACAGGGAGGCTTAAGTTTTGGAACATTCTCTAGAATTTTAAATTTTAAAAGTAATGACGTAGAAGTATGCATGTGCAATAAAATTAATATCTAGTGCACGAATGGCAGGACAAAATGTGGTGCAAATAAGACTCTTTCTGGTTACTTGCCCCACCCCCAAGTTTCAAAAATAACCATGATTCACATAAATCGTTAATGGGGTTCTCTTAAGTGTCCTTTGCTGCTTACTAAGCCGTCTGCCTAGTTCTCGTTAAAAACGCCTTCTTAGGTTCATAAAGCACGCCTGCGCTATCTTTGTATCACATGCAAATGCAGCAAATATCAAGAAAACGCAATAAATATCAAGAAAAAGATCCAGAAAATTTAATCAATATTAGGAAAACATGTTCTTTCTGTGCCCAATAATTTTATAACCTAAAACCCACCTCAAAGTCTCAATGTGGCAAATTTAATTAGTATTGTATCTCATTTTGTAAATTATTGTTCAACAGGTCTGTTGCACCATGGCGTTCTTTGGTCACAGGGAAAAGACTTAAAGTATTTGAACTATTTTAACTGCGTTATTGTCTTGTACTTCCTAGCGATTATGCTTTTAAACCAAAAAGATTTTTTTCTCTTATCCACTGGATCAGTAGTTTCACATACTCCCAGGCATTCTGACTTAACTAGTATGGACCTGTGTATTGGGATTTTGAAAAGGACCCCAGATGGTTCTGATGCTCAGCCTAGAAAAGAAAAAAAGGATGATGCTGAATTGGTTGAAAAAGTTCAAACTTCAGTTACAATCATCTCCTACAATTTCTCAAATGTCCAACTTTTAAAAAGTCTTAAATAAGCCTCTCTTTGCAAAGTTTAAATGTTAAATGAATTAAACATTAGAACTGGATAGTGAAATAATTTTCCTTCTTCCCCTTTTTCAGTAATAGGTAAGAAAGCTTCTTGAGAACAAAACAAATGTTTGTCCTGGATTCTGAGTTTGTAAATTGCTTCGGGATGGATAAAATCCTCAGACGCTTTTCATTACATTTACGTGTTGAATGGATGCCGCTGGGAACAGGAAGGGAGGTAAGTGGTTTTGCCTGTCTGGTCTTAGAAACGGTTATTATCTATCAGAAAATAATTCGACTGATAGCTGGCTTAGGCTGAGATCTCTATCCTGCCATCAATTCCCCTAGAGGCTGGCTCACTGCCTAAGGAGAGTCATAAAATAAGTTTGAGGGCCTCTGCACAAGGTCAGGCTCTTGGAGAAAAGGAGCAGGTTGGGAGAGGGGAGAGCAGGTGGGTTGAAGGATAAGAGTACGCAAAGCACCTCCCCGCCCACACCCCTAACTCTGAAGTAGGGGTGACAGTTCTTTTTTCTTTTTCTTTTTTTTTTTTTTTTTGCGGTACGCGGGCCTCTCACTGTTGTGGCCTCTCCCGTTGCGGAGCACAGGCTGCGGACACGCAGGCTCAGCGGCCATGGCTCACGGGCCCAGCCGCTCCGCGGCATGTGGGATCTTCCCAGACCGGGGCACGAACCCGTGTCCCCTGCATCGGCAGGCGGACTCGCAACCACTGCGCCAGCAGGGAAGCCCAGGGGTGACAGTTCTTTGCTACTACTCTTCCAATGGCCTCAGCCATTCCCCTGTGGCTAGTTATCCTGCAACTCTGTTATCATCTTCTTGACAACACCACTCCCACCTCTTGGAGCCCTAAGTCTTCAAGCCGCTCCCTGGCTTCCTAGAATCTCACAGACCTGCTTACTTCCAGCAAAACTACCCTTAAAGCTACATTACTCATTTTCAGGCTTTAAGGACTTCAAACTGGTCCCTTGTCATTTGCATTTTAGTAGCAGATGCTTCTTTGAACCTCTACCTAAAGAAAGGACTGAAGTAGAACTGCAGTATCACTGCTGGTAGGGGTATAAAGTGGTACCGAAAGTTTGGAAGACAACTAGGTAGTATCTACTATTTCAAATGTAAAACATACTTATCCTTTAATATGTCACATCTACTCTTTGCTATCTCCTGTGGAGAAATACTCAAGTTCACAAAAAGTTATATACAGGGATGTTCACGACAGTTAATGTAATAGCGGAAAAATGGAAATGATGTAAATGTTAATCATTACAGGAATGGTTAATACACTGTGGCATAACCATAGCAGTTAAAAACAATATGCCCACATAGAAAGATCCAGCCCCCCACCCCGACCCGCCCGGCCGAGGACAAATTGCAGAACAAAATAGAGTATGATACCAGGAATGTTGAAAACAAAATATAAAATTATGTACATGAATAGAAAAATTCTGAAAGTATACACAGTCTATGAAGAGGTGGGATTGAGTAGTAGTCAGAAACATTTTAATTTTTTCTATATTGTTTGAGTTTTTATAAAGGAAATGGATTTATGTATGATTGATATGATGCAAAATTCTCTTTTGAAACTGCAGACATCTGGAGTTGTCTAGAGTTGGGACTGGAGAGGAGAGAAAGCTCAGATACAAGAACATATCAGATAGCTTTGATGGGTAACGGCTATATTTATATAGTTTATATTCGTAAGTCCTGAAGAGGAGAAATATAATTCTGAGAAATAAGGTATTAGGATTCATAAATTCTGATTACAGTAGAATAATTCAGATTCCCCAGTGAAGTTCCCATTATGAGCTCTGAGCTATGTACCAACTTCTTTATTTTGATCTGAAGGATTTTTAGAGATGGTACTGTACTCCTGGTAGGACGCACTATACCCAATACGTATTGTCAAGGTTCACCAAATACCATATCTAATAAGCACGAAATTCCACATAAGAAACCACAAGTCCTTCCTTGGCTGCTGCTACTTGAAACTCCTGGCGCTTTGAAAAATGTTTCCAGTCCCTAAGTTACTGACTTCTCACCTGGTCTTTCCGAAAATGCCAGCAGAACTAACATTCATTTTTGCGCATTAAATCCCAGAAAGGTCTCAAATCTTAGGCAAACGATAAAGCTGCTGTGCTTTGCCCCTTACTTTGTTTTGTCCCAGGAGGCCCAGGCTGTTACACCGGGTGGCCACCCGTGCCCTGCCATTCCCACAATCCCTGGAAAGAACGGAATCTTTCTGGAAAGAATCCCCAGCACCTTGACTAAGAGTTGAACAAACCCTACCATTCTGAGCCGAGTCTCTTAGCACAGAAGCCAGAAAGTCACAGTTGTTTCTCTTCTCGACTCTTCATACAGTGAAAACCGCTGCCTTCTCCCTGGCTATGCAGTGCTAAGATCCACCTGAACACATACCGGAGTCTTTTGAAATTAAAATGAGTATAGGATTTCATGTGTTCTGATATGACACAGTGATACAAGTACACCGGGCCTTGGTGGGTACCACGAGCCACCAGCCGACCGGAAGTTCCTAGTTTGTTTGAATTAGAAGGTAGCTTATCAGATCAGCAGGCAGTTTGGTAACAGCACTGAGCGTGGCTGGAGATGGCAGGGTCTGGGGAGGG